CCAAGTTGTATACTTGTAAGACGTCTAAGGCGCCGCGATTCGCTGTGCAGAGTTGCGTCCCTTAGGCACGCCAGAAACCTATGATTGTGGGTTCGAATCCCGGTTTGCCTCAGATATGTTTCTAGGTTTGTCGGCACCATACCCATGCTCGTGGGCTTCACCAAAGAGGTAAACGTCTGAGACCTGCATCACTTCGGGCTTTCCTCCCACATTAAGCTGACACGCCGCGATATAACTGGAATACTGTTAAAAGCGACGTTAAACCAAACTCACTCACTCACTCACTCACGCTTGCTTGGTGGCTAAAGCTTTCACTACATATAACTCTCAGCTCAGTTTTAATGGATCGGAGAGCATCGGATATTGGAATTTAAGGGTTGGTAGCACAATAGCATTTTTATTTCAAACGACATCAATACTTACACGGGCTTGGCAATGTATACACCTTTGTCCCCATTTCTCGTGAATACATTGCCGTTCTCGTCTTTAGTGCTGTTTGTAATCAACATATCTTTGTTTTTTTTGTTTATTTGTTACTTAACACCGCACCCAGCTATATTCCAGCTATATGACGGCGGTCTGTAAATAAATCGAGTCTGGACCAGACAATCCAGTGATTGACATGGTGAGCGTCGATCCACGAAATTGGGATACGATGACATGCATCAACCGAATCAGCGAGCCTGACCACCAAATCCCGTTAGTCGTCTCTTACGACCAGTATAGTCGTTATCAACGTATCTCGCCACGGTCTGATTAGAGCAAAGCTGACGCCAGAGAGGGCTCTGACCAAGGGTCACTTATATCACAATCGTGGCAGACCCCTTGAACAGGAGTGAGTGAGTGAGTGAGTATGGTTTTACGCCGCTTTAAGCAATATTCCAGCAATATCACGGCGGGGGACACCAGAAATGGACTTCACACATTGTACCCATGTACATCGAACCCGGGTCTTCGGCGTAACCAGCTAACGCCTTAACCACTAGGCTACCCGACCACTCCCCTTGAACAGGAACATTCGTCACCTCTCGCCCCTTTCCGTATCCTGCAAGACGACTCGTCGCCTATCTGTCAGTGTTATTTTGCTGAACTAAGACAAACCAATCAGAATGGGCGCAAGACTCACTAAATGGTCAAAGAATCCCTCCTGAATATGATCGTGTTTCAAGGTATATTTTGCATTTTGTGACTGTCGGTAACAAGTAACGGGTTGTGTTCAGGAAATTTCCATGTAAAACTTACAATTGATTGATTGTTTGTTGTTTAACGCCGCACTCAGAAATATTCCAACTATATGACGGCGGTCTGTCAATAATCGAGTCTGAACCAGACAATCCAGTAATTGATATCATGAGCATCGATCCATGCAATTGGGATACGATGACATGCATCAACCAAGTCAGCGAGCCTGACCACCCGATCCCGTTAGTCGCCTCTTACAGCAAGCATAGTCGCCTCTTACGGCAAGCATAGTCGCCTCTTACGGCAAGCATAGTCGCCTCTTACGGCAAGCATAGTCGCCTCTTACGGCAAGCATAGTCGCCTCTTACGGCAAGCATAGTCGCCTCTTAGCGCAAGCATAGTCGCCTCTTACGGCAAGCATAGTCGCCTCTTAGCGCAAGCATAGTCGCCTCTAAGCGCAAGCATAGTCGCCTCTTAGCGCAAGCATAGTCGCCTCTTAGCGCAAGCATGGGTTAAAACCTATTCTGAACCATAGGTGTAGTATACAGTAAACCAGATAGGACTAGTTTACAGTAAACTGGATTAGACTAGTGAACAGTGAACCAGAGTCGACTTGTGTACAGTCAACCGGATTAGACTAGTTTACAGTAAACTGGATTAGACCAGTGTACGGCAAACCAGATTAGACTAGTGATGGTGATCCAGAGTCGACCTGTTTACACTAAACCGGATAAGACTAGTTTAAAGTAAACTGGATTAGACTAGTGTACGGCAAACCGGATTCGACTTGTGTACAGTAAACCGGATTAGACTAGTGAACAGTGGACCAGAGTCGACCTGTGTACAGTAAACCGGATAAGACTAGTCAACAGTGAACCGGATTAGACTAGTGAACAGTGGACCAGAGTCGACCTGTGTACAGTAAACCGGATACGACTAGTCAACAGTGAACCGGATTAGACTAGTGAACAGTGAACCAGGGTCGACTTGTGTACAGTAAACCGGATTAGACTAGTCAACAGTGAACCGGATTAGACTAGTGTACGGCAAACCGGATAAGACCAGTGAACAGTGAACCGAATTAGACTAGTGAACAGTGAACCAGATTAGACTAGTGATAGTGATGAAGGAGACAGTATATATATACTTCGAAACGTTGTGCTCCTCATAATAAAGAAGTTGACATCCACAAATTCTCTTCCTTAAAAACAAAAACGCCCGGATCTTTTGCCTTCATCTTGAAAGGTTTGACAAGGCCTATCACCAACGGTAATAGTTTTATATGGCAGTGCAACGTGAATTGCTTGTATCGCACCGTTATGCTTGTATCTGTAAATTTTGATTGCGAAAAGGGATTACCGAACAGTTTTACTGTTACGTTTAGTTTTAGGATTGAATATGGATGTTATGTAAGGAAAAACACGTCCAAAGGTTCTTATATCTCATTACATTGAGGGGGCACGGGTTGCCCAGTCGTCTAAGGCGCCGCGATTCGCTGTCATAGTTGCGTCCCTTGGGCACGCCAGAAACCTATGATTGTGGGTTCGAATCCCGCTTCGCCCCGATTATGTTTCTAGGTTTGTCAGCACCATACCCGTGCTCGTGGGTTTCACCGAAGTGGTAAACGTCTGAGACCTGCATCACTTCGGGCTTTCCTCCCACATTAAGCTGACACGCCGTGATATAACTGGAATACTGTTAAAAGCGGCGTTAAACCCAACTCACTCACTCACTCATTACATTGTAGGAATATTCCGACTTTTGCACTTTAAAACACGTTAGAATTAAGAGCATATGTATACACTGTTTCGTAAGCAAAAAAAGGTTGCTCTAACTCAACACAGATATGCATTGGTGGACAGACAGACGGTGCCAGCTGATAGGAAGGAATGAAGACAACCGATGCTTTTGGTAAGAGGCGACTAACGGCATCGGGTGGTCAGGCTCGCTGACATGGTTGATGCATGTCATCGTATCCAATTGCGTAGATTGATGCTCATGATGTCAGTCACTAGATAGTCTGATTCAGACTCGATTATTTACAGACCGCCGTCATAGAGCTGGGATATTGCAAGGTGCGTTAAACAACAAACACACAAAGACTCCCGAGGCTCTCTTCTCGGTATTCACAATATTAGTATAACTGAGATGAAGCGTTTAATCCTGCTTCGAAACTGAAAAAATGACAATGCATTACTGCAAACTAAATGGTCAAGTATCCATTAAAAGCACTTTTTATGCCTAGTCTGTCACCTTTTGCAGTGGACTCGACCGAATACGTGTCAATTTCGTACATGCAACACCAATTTCTAGTGACAAAAACGAGCTCGAAGCGATTTTTATTTCTGATGTTATTTCACATATCTCACGCACAAGCACACGCACGCACACACGCACACGCAAACTCACACGCACGCTTGCACGAACTCTCCCTACATGTATTTCTCGAAACACTGCAAATAATGATTTCTCATATTAACAATCCGGACAAAAAACTTCAAAAAATGTTCCCAAAGGGATCTGATGCAATTCCCCGGGACTGATTGTTGCCTTTGTTATTGTTTTTCCCCCGTGAGTACCCGGATGATAGAGCAGAAATCTAGACTAGTTCGCGACCTGTGCTGCGCAATTCGTAAGCGCATTTGTCACTTTTATTGATAGTATTAGGGCGTATGGTCACGTTGATTAACAAAATAAAATACTGTTTTGGAAGTAATAAGGAAATGTAGGTATCTCTGTAGGAGGCATCAGTTATGGTGAAGAAGCTTTGATAAGTCACATGCTTGGTAATTTTGCGATTTTCGTTTACACTATTTTGACTTGCAACAAAGAGTAAATATTGCACCTGAGTATTGCTTACTTTATCGTATATTTTTACAGTCAAAATGTGCAAAATTTTCAATTTGTATTTTACAAGTTGACTGTAATATTATGATAACGAATTCCAAATTTTTTTATGTTTAATATCATCACCAAGTGACTGAAAATGTTAGGATTAAAAGAACATTTGTATGTTGTTTGGCTTCTAATCCTAGATTAATTAATCTATTGTTATGTTTTTGACCGTCTTAATAATTTTTAGTCAATCTGGTGAATAAATGGAAAGATTTTTCAGTCAATTTGTAAAATGACTGAAATATTTAGACATTTTATAATATGCCTGCGTGAATCACACTTTACACATTGACCGTAACATATACACTCTTACAAAGGAAAAGACTTGTGAAAACAACGTCTATCGCGCATCGAAGAAATTCCCAACCAAGACGTAGAGGAACAAGAATGAATCTGTCCAATGCAACAGCAAATGAATGATTTTGTGTGCAAATATAACAATTTCAACCTACCAAATTTATATGTATAATTTTAGGCAGCTTCCTTGTTCGAGGAATGTATCCCTGGATATCCACATAAAGGAACAATACCCCACATGTCTGCAGCTGTACAAAGAAACTTATTCGATGTCACGTGTCTCTGTAACAATCAAATATTTTCAAATATCTTTTCGGATTATTATAACCCGTGTTCGTTTCTCAGCTGATCACTTAGTTCTGTTTTTTTTCAGTTGTTTCACCACCCGATCCAGGAAATATTACCTACTACTAGCACAGAGTTGTTAGCAACTATGACCTGCTACTAGTAGGTACAAAGACGGTCTCTACGTCTCTGGAGACTAACATTTACTGCTACTACTACCTAACAGTAACAATTAAATAGCATAACCATATTAGGATGTATGTTCACAGGGGCGCATTTCACGCCATATTGGAACATGCAGTGTCCAACACAGCATTCAGCAGATGGTAGGATTTCTGTCATCATTTTGTTGTTGTTTTTTATCTCCGGTCTAGACAGGCTAGACTTAGATTTAGTATCTTCATACGGTATATGTATTTTATACATCACCTAATTACAATTTTAACAACCAATTAATAGATAGATCTATAGATATATAGTAATCCGGTCTTAATAGAAGATTTCATTCATACATGCCATTGTATGTGTATTTGTTTGATAGAACTACACATATTTATAAGAACTGATCGTTACAAAATATATTGGCAAACAAGGTTAAAATTTGTCTTCGGAAAAATCGTCCCGACGTGGTCAGAAAGAGTTATCCCCCTTGGCCGGCATAGCGATCGGTTTTCGATCAAACATTTATCGGTTAGATCTTGCTTTTTGTTTATCTGTTCTTACTTGTTCGTTGGTCATAATGTTATCTAGTCTTTGTGCAAACATAATTTACAGTCTACAACCATTCACTATGGTACTTTTTATTTTCAGATACTGAGATGGAGAACGTCAACGTGCCTGCTGACCCTGCACATGACGCATGTTTGTATTCTATGTCTGTAGGCCTAGAATGAGTGTAGGACTAACATAGATATATTATCGGGGAAGCATCAAATCTCATCTAGATTATTAGTGTTAATTAACTTGTTTTGCTGAAAGGTCTGTGTTCTGGGTTCAAAGTGAGGTCCATTTCTGGCGTTCGCTCCATTGTGAGATAAGGCCCACGCTCTAATTCACTAGTCTACATGCCCTCTTTTTTGTTTTTTGTTGTTGTTGTTGTTGTTGTTGTTGTTGTTGTTATGATGAACACTGAGGGAATATTTAGACATATGAGATTAATAAAGGATCATAAAGATTATTGTGCATCCAGCAAATTTATAGTAAACTATACATGTATCATTGATTACCTCCCTTTGCAACCAATATGTCAAGATATCAGTACCAATTTACACATTTTTTTATTCCCAGGGTATCCAAGTGGGCTGTGTCCTGCCACATTCAGGAAATTTGAGGTGCAACCCTTGTAGGAAATCAGGTATGTTGTATTCTACCCCTATACATGTTGGGAATTACATTAATTTACTTTATTATACTAAGGCTAATTTACTGTTGTATAGATTTAGCACAAGCTAAGCACAGGTGCTGTGAACATTTATCTTTATGCACCCCCATGATAAAGTCAGGGATAACAATAGAGGAATCATCATACATCAAATTTAATAATGGATGTCATGATATGAAATACCACATTTGTAGTATTATTGGTACCTCATTATATCAGTCTTTCCTCACTGGATCATCAGCTGACACACTGTGATATTACCGAAACACTGTTCTAAGTTGCATTAAGCCAACTCAACCATTCACTATGCAAACTTACTGACCTGATTATGGCAATTGTGAAAGTATTACTTTCCCTCAGACCTTAGGCCATTTATTAAGTTATGAGGTGTGAGTTGGTATACTGTAATCAAACTACAGGCTATCATGAATACAGGAATATCCAATTTGAAGTCAAATGAGCTTATGTCATGGTGCATTATCTGTCATCTGTCCATAACTAACTTGTACACTTTCAAAACCTCCTCTGAATCTACAAGGCCTATGAAACTGAAATCTCAGCAATGATATTCTAAAACATGAGGCCATTTACAAAATATCACTTTTGCATATTACACAGCCATTTCAGATGTGGCATTATGAAACTTGATATGTGTTATGGGGTTTACATTGGTATATTTTTTGCTTGATCTGGGAGGAACATCTTAGATATTTACCACTTGATGAGACCCACCAGCGTGGAAATGGTGCTGACAAACAAAGGGAAATAATCATGGTAATTATGGGATTTGAACCCATTGTCATAGATTTCTGGCATATGAAAGGGATGCAGCTTAGTCTCTGATAATGTAAAATATTGATAGAAACATTTTAGTTTAAAAGTAGACCCAGGGATATGGGCTGGGCGGAAGGGAAAATAATATGGTTCAAGGACTGTGAGACAGACAGGGATGCAACTCTGCCCAGCAAATTGAGGTGGCTTCTTGGATGACTGTATTACCTGTGCCTTCTATGGCCTTAAACTTTCACATACCTTATAAAGTTTGTTTGTGTTTTCAATATCTTCTCTGAAAATCATATTTTCAATAAGCTGAGATTTTGTTTATTTGATCCCACTAACATGATGCCAATACAACTTCAAGCTGTCAAGACATGGCAACCATATTGAACATGTACTTTTCACCCTTTTAGAAAGCCACTTCTGCATTTACATTATGAAATTTGATATACAGTAATTATTTGGTAAACCCAACAACAGGGTCATATTTTGCAAGTTTTTCTTATATTTTGAACTGCAACATTTTGTCTTCATGGGCTGCTGCAGCAGTCATGATGAATGTGTTCTTTGACTCGTTTCATTACCAATTATTATCCCCCCCCACAACATGTTTTGCGGGGGTATTAAAATGGACATGGTCAGTCCTTGCATTCATACTTCTGTGTAAGATTTTGAAAAAACATTTACTATTTTCTTCACCAATCATGGTACATGGATAGGCCTAGTGGTGACCTGGTGCCTGTTGATAGTTTTGGATTTTTGTAAAATGTATCTTTTTATTTTCCATGGCAACAACTTTGACTGAAATAGGAGGGTAGTGATCGTTCTTGGAACATACCTTAAAAATCTACAATATTTCTTCACCAAACTTGACGCACAGATCGTTCTAGTGGTGAACTGGTGCCTTTTGATAGTTTAGGATTTTTTGAAAATTAATATTTTGAGATGCCACAACTTTGACTCATACTGAAAATGAGGGTAGTGCTGCTTTCTATGCAGATCAATTTTTTTTACAATATTTCCTTAACAAGCATGGCACATAGATAGGTCTTGTGTTGAACTGGTGCCTTTTGGTAGTTTAGGATTTTTTAAAAATTGATATTTTGAGATGCCACAACTTGACTCATACTGAAAATGAGAGTAGTGCTCCTTTCTGGGCAGATTAAAAAAAACTTACAATATTTCCTTAACAAGCATGGCACATAGATAGGTCTAGTGTTGAACTGGTGCCATTTGATAATTTGGGATATTTAGTTTCCATAGCAAGTATTTAATATTTAGGGGATAATGGTGAATTTGTCTTCTTGCATATACTGTCATCCTTTTAATTGGTCAAGATGCTGTGAGAAAGTCTGTTCTGTAGATAAATAGTTTTGTTTCTTTTGCTTATTTATTATACCCTTGTATTGCCTTTTTGTGGTAATAATATATTCCGTGAAAAAGTACATGGAAGCTACAGAGCCATCTTAACACCTATACCCAGGGTAGTTTGTTCGAACAGTATTTCTGTCAGTCATGTGAGGGGAATTAAAAATAGAATTAAAATAGAAACCCTAAAGTAAAAACTGAATTTTTCAAAAGGTTATCTGGAGCTCTGTTACATGAGTCAGTTTAATGGCACCAATACAATGGGCACATCTGGCCTCCATTAGGTTGAATCTGGTAAACTGTGTCTGTGACTTTTTGGGGTGACGACATTGCAGCCATATTGAATGTTATTTTGACCAGGTACTCATGTATCATGGTGTTATTCATTTAACAGGCTCTGATACTATATTTCAATCTCCAATGTGCTATGTTTCAGTGATCATATGTTCCATTTGGTCATGCCATCATCTTTCACCTTTTTGTGTCCTAATAATGGAATGTACCAGTAATTGTAATAACCTTGTACCTGCAATATTTCCTATGAATCTTTTTGGAAGTGAAGCTATGATTGGTTATATATGTGTGTTATCATGCACTCCAACAAAGGTATAAAATAGATCTACTGTTCTTTTCAGATTTCAGGTTCAGATTATCATGCCATGGTCATACCCTTTGCATGCACCCTTGTATCTAGATTACAGGTATACTAACACTGTTTGGATTGTTGCAGACATGATCCAAGTAATTCAGTCTCAAAAATGTAGTAACAGAATTTGATTCTTAACATTCCCAAAGGGCAACTATATGGAATGTCAGTTTTGTGTGACCTGGCTGATTTGGTGACATTACACCCCAATTACATGGATAGTTGTTAGTGCTATCAACCTCTTGCCTGCCTGGACCAAGCACCATTATTTTAAGTGGTCATAAACAATTCACTCGTTTTTCCTCATTTGTCAATCATTATTAAATATTCATATCATTTGGTGTATCTGAACATTTGTTACTTATTTCTGCATAATCTTGTTTATCTATTTATGATGACCTTTACCAGTATTTAATTCCCTAAAAATAAATTCTGATCAGTTTCAGGCCCATTCAAACGGTTCGTAGTGAGGTATATTTTTGTTTATCCTAGATAACCTTAGCAATGTTGTCATGAAGAGGTTGATGGATGTTTATTACACTTTTTTAACCTTCATTTGCAAAGGTATTTTTGTAGCTTCCAATTCTGATTTGTTCAACTTTAAGAACTTTCTTCTCAGAAACCAAGGAAACTAAAACTTAATGACACCTGGCATGTGTAGCACCACAATGGGACTCGGATTAAGTTATGTGGTTGTCCCAGTGTTTTATTTTACAATTTGTTCATTCAGTTCTGTGGTGTCATGTGTTGTGTTTATTCTTATGAAGATTTTCATTCTTCGTATACCATGTTCACAGGTTTCACTGTCCAGTTACAAGAAGCCTGGTGTAAATAGCTTGTTTGGTCCAGTTGCACCAAACAAAGGTAACATTGATCGCCTCGAAACGTAGGATTCATGTCTGCATGTCGTTAAACAAACTGGTTGTAATATAGCATAGACTATTTTTCCAGATAAGACAAATATACAAAATAAAACAAAATACTTTTTGAATACAAACAACATGGCCTGCTTGTCTGGTGTTTGTCATCCTGACACAACTATTAGCTCATCAAGGTGAGCTTATGCCATACCGTGGGGTCCGTCGTCCGTATGTCAACAATTTTTCCAAAAAATGTTTTGGGGGGACCACAAATTGACAATAACGAAATTTGACTGGAAGCATCCCTAGGTGGTGAGGATTCAAAATTTTACAAATGGTGGGGCTGACCCCCCAAAGGGCAGGGTGGCGGGGCCAAATGGGGGTAATTTGGCTATATTGCTTTAAACGACTTCTTTATTGGAACTAAGAGATAGATATCAACCATATTTGGTTGGAAGCATTCTCCAATGCTGGGGATTAAAAATTGTACCAATGGAGAGGGCTGACCCCCCAAGGGTCATGGCCAAATAGGAGTAATTTGGCTATATTGCTTTAAACGACTTCCTCTCTGGAACTAAGAGATAGATATCAACCATATTTGGTTGGAATCAATTCTCCAATGGTGGAGATTCAAATTGGAGAAATGGAGGGGCTGAAATTGCTTCTTGAAACACAATTAAGAATGAAAATAAAAGAAGAGAAACTACATTCTCCTGGAAGCTGAAACTTAACTTTGTAGAAATGATGATGATCACTTGTAGCTTACACAAAGCGAAGGTTCAAATAAGCTTATGTCATGGCTGTGTTCATCTATACTAATGGAAAAAAGTAACTGCTGTGTATTAAGTAGTGTAAATGTTATGTTATTGTAAATTACAACATAATATTTGGTCTTTTGTCGCATCAATGTTTTATCATAACAAATTCATTGACAAAATCCATTCCTGGTAATTGGAGACGGAGAGACACGCCCCCAAAGAGGGGTGCAACTTGTAGGCGGGCACTATCCTGCTGCAACATGACATTACGTCACTGCATGTGCACAAAGGCAAGAACATTATCTCAAACGATGTCCTCATAACAATGATGAGTTGTGTTTTCCCATGAGTTGTGATGCCACCCCATACCATTACAGTTCCACCCCAAAACTGATTATGATAAGTAATGCAAGAGTTGCTAAAACATTCTCCATTTTGCATGTAGACCTTTGCACGACCATCAGAGCTGTTCAGATGAAACCCTCACTCATTTGTGAACAGTGTACTGTCCCTGTTTTTCTTCTGAACCTCAGATGCTGTGTACACCAAGTGTGACTGATAGTCCTGTGTAAGCAAAATTAGGCATATTGCTGAATGTTGGGACCGGATGTTGTGCTCTCTCAACCAGTAACGTACAGTTCTGCCACTAATTCGTCTTAACCCAAGAATTGTCCGATTATTAATGTGGCAGATGATATTTGTGATTCGATGAACATTAAAAATGTTTGGCAAGTTCGTTTTGCGCATTTCGTGTTTGCAACATGTCATCAAGCCGTGACAGCATTATTAATTATGGTTGAACAAAAAGAAAAAAGATTTTATTAGACCCAGAGAGCTAAACAATCATTGTGTGCTGTTTACATTATGAAAACTTGTGTAAATACCTTGCTCCCAACAAACATGCAAACACACAAATTATGCGCAGTCCATAAACATTTGCATGCAAATTGTGAATCACGACCTTAAAACTGAGGAGATGTCTTCATCAATATGCATATTGAAAGATGCATTATTTAATTTCAGATTAAACTTAGTTTTGTTCAAACTCATTAAAATCTGATCTTAGTTTTCGCTACCGCTAACCAAAGATCTGAGGACAGCTATCTCGAGCTTTACTGCACTAGTTTCAAACTGGCAACTACGCCTCGAAACATATTTTGACGTATTCTCGATTAAATAAATTTAAAACTGACCAAAACAACATTCTGGAATGACTTATAGATGGCCTAAATTGTATGGATATAATCATAAAACCCGTAACTGTCGTTCGGAATACCCTCTGTTAAATATTTCGAGGATGCATGATTAGAAAACACATTTTAACTGTCACTTTCAGGATCTGGTAAGTGATGCTCTGATTGGTTGGATGAAAGGTCATGCTGACGTGACCCATAATGGGATGTCCTCAGATCATTTTTTAGCGATAGCGAGAACTTAGATCTGATTTTAATGAGATTGAGTTATGTTGGACTTTTTATTAAGAAAAGTTACCTTTTTCTGCTAGTATGTATGTCGTTAACGATTTCACTTTCAACATCTCCTCTAGAACTACAAAGCCTATGAAGCTGAAACTTGGCATGAATCATCCCAGCAATGATGTCAGAATTGTGATTTGATGTTAAGCGTGTCGCTATGTAACAGCAGCGTATAAAATTCCCGGAAGGGCAACTTTGCAAATATTCCTGTCCAGATAAAATGCTTCCCGTCCAGAATTTTCTACACTAATGAACAAAAGTAACAAAATGGTGAACATAAGAAAAGTACTGTTGATTGTTAGTTCCCAGAAAATAACAATAAACTGATGGATTGTCTACTTAGTTACTTTAACTCATTGAAATTCATCAAATTCCAAGTCTGATTGACTGCCTCTATGGTGTACTGGTAGAGTGTCTGCTCGGAGAGTGGAAGGTCAGAAATTCGATCCCTTGAAGCATCATTCCAAAAGACATTAAAAGATGGTACTTGTTGTTACCCTGTCTTGCTCTCGGTAGTAAGGGCTAAAAGAAGGAATGGTCCACTCGGAGTCAGTATACTGTGTATAAAATTTGTTTTGCAGGTTTTTGTTGAAGCAGAGACCATATAATATTATATGGTCTCTGGTTGAAGTATATATTTTTTCGAAATTCATGTCTAACTGTATCAGTCCTCTCCCTCACAAAATGTTAGAAATTTGGTTGTATTTTAAGAACCTTACACTTACATACTTTGAAAATAACAAAATCAGATGAAATTATCATCTGTTATCACATTTTCCTTCACACGAATATCCAGATACAAATTATGAGTCTGTATCCAGAAGCCAGAAATCTTTTACCAAAAAATAAATGCATATCAGTTTCTGGATGTGAATTACAAAAAGTACACAAATTATCATAAGATATTTTAATTTTGTTCAAGAAACACCATCTTAATTTTGTATCCTGGACACATTTAACTGGCTTGAGAAAAATTCCTTGCCAGTTGAGATAACTGCAAATTATAACTTCCCATTAAGTTTTGAATTTAAGTGAGACAACATGATATTAAACTACAATATCTTTACAGGCATTTTTAATGGAACATAACTTGATGTTGCCATGAACCTAAAATAAATGTATGCTATACCCACAAACGGTCAACTGTTTCCTGATTGGCTGATAATAGAATGGGAGGGGCTTGTTTTTCATTATATTGGGTTTAACAATGTCACTGATTTTCTATTGTTGTCTTCCGGTTTGTTTATGTAAGTAATTAAAAAGGAGTCTACAAAGTTGTTAATATTGACATATTTATTTAAAAGAATTGACTCCAATATAATTTTAAATTAATGTGGGTATAAATGTAAAAATAAGGTGTACTACGTGGATTTATTTATATTGAAGTTAAATCATAAGTTATTTTTCCATGAAAAATGTTCAATCAATGGTGATGACATCACTTATGTGAATATTTTCAACCTTTTCAGGGCAACTACCATGCTGTAATGAAACTTGATGGTATCAGTTTACACCAACGCTAAACTACATATACAGCTCCCAATACAGTGTGCTTTGAGAAGGGAGAGCAACTATGCCCTGTACGTTTCTGGAAAGAAGAAGTGTTGAGAAGAAGAGTTCTGTGTTGAAGTCAGCATTGACATCCTGAGTAGTGAAAAGATCAGCAGGGAGTAGCATCAGTTTGCTACTGTGTGGTGGGACAGTGTTTCTCCCTATACTCATGGACAGTACTGTACATCTAAACATATGATTCATATTATATATTGTTTCATAATGTGAGGTGTGTTTTTTTCATTCAAAATATCAATTATCATATATGGTGAATTTAGCATCTTACAAATATACTGTGCATGGAATTTCTTCACTGTTTTCAGCATTTTGAGGCAAAACTCTTTTCATGTGTTACATTTATGTTTATTGTTTCCTCAACAATAAAGAACTAGCAAAATGATGAATTTTGTTTGTAGTTGATTGATTATGACAAGGATAAACAGTATTATGTAGGCATGAATGTGTTCATGTATTCATCACCGAACGACATGATGTCAAATGGCTGATTGTGTTAATGTGCCCAATTGCATGGGTTTTGCTGATCTTGTCAGCCACTGATTTGCCTTGTCCACAATACATTTACCAGCCACCATGCTATAGCTTACATTACAATCCTGGCAATCCATGCTACGGATTATGATTTTACATCCAAACAGATGGTAAGTTAGACAGTACCAAAATAATGATGTCACCATATTATCTCAACAGAAACATGAATCGCGAGGTGCTTTGGTAATGGTTACTACCCAATATATGTCCGACAGTGACATAAAACTGCGTTATTCTTGAATCAGACGCTAATGTCGCTAAATATCAACAGAAACATGAATCACATGGTTCTAGGGTTAGGGTTTCTGCCCAATATATGTCCAACGGTGATGTGAAACTGGGTTATTCCTGATACAGACGCTGATGTTCTCGTATTTCATGAATCATGAGGTGCTAGGGTTAGAGTCTCCACCCAATATGTGTCCAACAGTGATGTAAAACTGGATTATTCTTGAATCAGATGCAGATATCACGAAATCTCTACAGAAACATGAATGATAAGGTGCTAGGGTTAGGGTTTCCACTCAATACATGTCCGACAGTGATGTAAACTGGGTTATTCTTGATACAGACGCTAATGTTATAAAATCTCAACATAAACATGAATCATGAGGTTCTAGGGCTAGGGTTTCTACTCAATTTATGTCCAATATAGATGTACAACTGGGTTATTCCTGATACAGACGCTGATGTTAACGTATTTAACAGAAACACGAATGATGAGGTTCTAGGGTTAGGGTTTCTACTCAATATATGTCCGACAGTGATGTAAAACTGGATTATTCCTGATACAGACGCTGATGTTCTCGTATCTCAACAGAAACATGAATGATAAGGTGCTAGGGTTAGGGTTTCTGCCTAATATATGTCCAATTGTGATGTAAAACTGGATTATTTCTGATACAGACGCTGATGTTCTCGTATCTCAACAGAAACGTGAATCATGAGGTGCTAGGGTTAGGGTTTCTACTCAATATATGTCCGACAGTGATGTAAAACTGGATTATTCCTGATACAGACGCTGATGTTCTCGTATCTCAACAGAAACATGAATGATAAGGTGCTAGGGTTAGGGTTTCTACTCAATTTATGTCCAACATAGATGTAAAACTGGGTTATTCCTGATACAGACGCTGATGTTAACGTATTTAACAGAAACACGAATGATGAGGTTCTAGGGTTAGGGTTTCTACTCAATATATGTCCGACAGTGATGTAAAACTGGATTATTTCTGATACAGACGCTGATGTTATCGTATCTCAACAGAAACGTGAATCATGAGGTGCTAGGGTTAGGGTTTCTACTCAATATATGTCCGACAGTGATGTAAAACTGGATTATTCCTGATACAGACGCTGATGTTCTCGTATCTCAACAGAAACATGAATGATAAGGTGCTAGGGTTAGGGTTTCTACTCAATATATGTCCGACAGTGATGTAAAACTGGATTATTCCTGATACAGACGCTGATGTTCTCGTATCTCAACAGAAACATGAATGATAAGGTGCTAGGATTAGGGTTTCTACTCAATTTATGTCCAACATAGATGTAAAACTGGGTTATTCCTGATACAGACGCTGATGTTAACGTATTTAACAGAAACACGAATGATGAGGTTCTAGGGTTAGGGTTTCTACTCAAATATATGTCCGACAGTGATGTAAAACTGGGTTATTCCTGATACAGACGCTGATGTTATCGTATTTCATGAATCATGAGCTCGAGGTGCTAGGGTTAGAGTTTCCACCCAATATGTGTCCAACAGTGATGTAAAACTGGATTATTCTTGTATCAGACGCTGATGTTCTCGTATCTCAACAGAAACATGAATGATAAGGTGCTAGGGTTAGGGTTTCTACTCAATATATGTCCGACAGTGATGTAAAACTGGATTATTCCTGATACAGACGCTGATGTTCTCGTATCTCAACAGAAGCATGAATGATAAGGTGCTAGGGTTAGAGTTTCTACTCACTATATGTCCGACAGTGATGTAAAACTGGATTATTCCTGATACAGACGCTGATGTTCTCGTATCTCAACAGAAACATGAATGATAAGGTGCTAGGGTTAGGGTTTCTACCTAATATATGTCTAATTGTGATGTAAAACTGGGTTATTTCTGATACAGACGCTGATGTTCTCGTATCTCAACAGAAACATGAATGATGAGGTTCTAGGGTTAGGGTTTCTACTCAAATATATGTCCGACAGTGATGTAAAACTGGGTTATTCCTGATACAGACGCTGATGTTATCGTATTTCATGAATCATGAGGTGCTAGGGTTAGAGTTTCCACCCAATATGTGTCCAACAGTGATGTAAAACTTGATTATTCTTGAATCAGACGCTGATGTTCTCGTATCTCAACAGAAACATGAATGATAAGGTGCTAGGGTTAGGGTTTCTACTCAATATATGTCCGACAGTGATGTAAAACTGGATTATTCCTGATACAGACGCTGATGTTATCGTATCTCAACAGAAACATGAATGATAAGGTGCTAGGGTTAGGGTTTCTACTCAATTTATGTCCGACAGTGATGTAAAACTGGATTATTCCTGATACAGACGCTGATGTTCTCGTATCTCAACAGAAACATGAATGATAAGGTGCTAGGGTTAGGGTTTCTACTCAATATATGTCTAATTGTGATGTAAAACTGGATTATTCCTGATACAGACGCTGATGTTCTCGTATCTCAACAGAAACATGAATGATAAGGTGCTAGGGTTAGGGTTTCTACTCAATATATGTCCGACAGTGATGTAAAACTGGATTATTCCTGATACAGACGCTGATGTTCTCGTATCTCAACAGAAACATGAATGATAAGGTGCTAGGGTCAGGGTTTCTACTCAATATATGTCCGACAGTGATGTAAAACTGGATTATTCCTGATACAGACGCTGATGTTCTCGTATCTCAACAGAAACATGAATGATAAGGTGCTAGGGTTAGGGTTTCTACCTAATATATGTCTAATTGTGATGTAAAACTGGGTTATTTCTGATACAGACGCTGATGTTCTCGTATCTCAACAGAAACATGAATCGTGAGGTGCTAGGGTTAGGGTTTCTACTCAATATATGTCCGACAGTGATGTAAAACTGGATTATTCCTGATACAGACGCTGATGTTCTCGTATCTCAACAGAAACATGAATGATAAGGTGCTAGGGTTAGGGTTTCTACTCAATATATGTCCGACAGTGATGTAAAACTGGATTATTCCTGATACAGACGCTGATGTTCTCGTATCTCAACAGAAGCATGAATGATAAGGTGCTAGGGTTAGAGTTTCTACTCACTATATGTCCGACAGTGATGTAAAACTGGATTATTCCTGATACAGACGCTGATGTTCTCGTATCTCAACAGAAACATGAATGATAAGGTGCTAGGGTTAGGGTTTCTACCTAATATATGTCTAATTGTGATGTAAAACTGGGTTATTTCTGATACAGACGCTGATGTTCTCGTATCTCAACAGAAACATGAATGATGAGGTTCTAGGGTTAGGGTTTCTACTCAAACATATGTCCGACAGTGATGTAAAACTGGGTTATTCCTGATACAGACGCTGATGTTATCGTATTTCATGAATCATGAGGTGCTAGGGTTAGAGTTTCCACCCAATATGTGTCCAACAGTGATGTAAAACTTGATTATTCTTGAATCAGACGCTGATGTTCTCGTATCTCAACAGAAACATGAATGATAAGGTGCTAGGGTTAGGGTTTCTACTCAATATATGTCCGACAGTGATGTAAAACTGGATTATTCCTGATACAGACGCTGATGTTCTCGTATCTCAACAGAAACATGAATGATAAGGTGCTAGGGTTAGGGTTTCTACTCAATTTATGTCCGACAGTGATGTAAAACTGGATTATTCCTGATACAGACGCTGATGTTCTCGTATCTCAACAGAAACATGAATGATAAGGTGCTAGGGTTAGGGTTTCTACTCAATATATGTCTAATTGTGATGTAAAACTGGGTTATTTCTGATACAGACGCTGATGTTCTCGTATCTCAACAGAAACATGAATCGTGAGGTGCTAGGGTTAGGGTTTCTACTCAATTTATGTCCGACAGTGATGTAAAACTGGGTTATTCCTGATACAGACGCTGATGTTCTCGTATCTCAACAGAAACATGAATGATAAGGTGCTAGGGTTAGGGTTTCTACTCAATATATGTCCGACAGTGATGTAAAACTGGATTATTCCTGATACAGACGCTGATGTTCTCGTATCTCAACAGAAACATGAATGATAAGGTGCTAGGGTTAGGGTTTCTACTCAATATATGTCCGACAGTGATGTAAAACTGGATTATTCCTGATACAGACGCTGATGTTCTCGTATCTCAACAGAAACATGAATGATAAGGTGCTAGGGTCAGGGTTTCTACTCAATATATGTCCGACAGTGATGTAAAACTGGATTATTCCTGATACAGACGCTGATGTTCTCGTATCTCAACAGAAACATGAATGATAAGGTGCTAGGGTTAGGGTTTCTACCTAATATATGTCTAATTGTGATGTAAAACTGGGTTATTTCTGATACAGACGCTGATGTTCTCGTATCTCAACAGAAACATGAATCGTGAGGTGCTAGGGTTAGGGTTTCTACTCAATATATGTCCGACAGTGATGTAAAACTGGATTATTCCTGATACAGACGCTGATGTTCTCGTATCTCAACAGAAACATGAATGATAAGGTGCTAGGGTTAGGGTTTCTACTCAATTTATGTCCGACAGGGATGTAAAACTGGGTTATTCCTGATACAGACGTTGATGTTCTCGTATCTCAACAGAAACATGAATGATAAGGTGCTAGGGTTAGGGTTTCTACTCAATTTATGTCCGACAGTGATGTAAAACTGGGTTATTCCTGATACAGACGCTGTTGTTCTCGTATCTCAACAGAAACGTGACTCATGAGGTGCTAGGGTTAGGGTTTCTACCCAATATATGTCTAATTGTGATGTAAAACTGGGTTATTTCTGATACAGACGCTGATGTTATCGTATCTCAACAGAAACGTGACTCGTGAGGTGCTAGGGTTAGGGTTTCTACCCAATATATGTCTAATTGTGATGTAAAACTGGGTTATTTCTGATACAGACGCTGATGTTATCGTACCTCAACAGAAACGTGACTCGTGAGGTGCTAGGGTTAGGGTTTCTACCTAATGTATGTCTAATTGTGATGTAAAACTGGGTTATTTCTGATACAGACGCTGATGTTATCGTATCTCAACAGAAACGTGACTCGTGAGGTGCTAGGGTTAGGGTTTCTACCCAATGTATGTCTAATTGTGATGTAAAACTGGGTTATTTCTGATACAGACGCTGATGTTATCGTATCTCAACAGAAACGTGACTCGTGAGGTGCTAGGGTTAGGGTTTCTACCCAATATATGTCTAATTGTGATGTAAAACTGGGTTATTTCTGATACAGACGCTGATGTTATCGTATCTCAACAGAAACGTGACTCATGAGGTGCTAGCGTTAGGGTTTCTACCTAATGTATGTCTAATTGTGATGTAAAACTGGGTTATTTCTGATACAGACGCTGATGTTATCGTATCTCAACAGAAACGTGACTCGTGAGGTGCTAGGGTTAGGGTTTCTACCCAATATATGTCTAATTGTGATGTAAAACTGGGTTATTTCTGATACAGACGCTGATGTTATCGTATCTCAACAGAAACGTGAATCGTGAGGAGCTAGGGTTAGGGTTTCTACCCAATATATGTCTAATTGTGATGTAAAACTGGGTTATTCCTGATACAGACGCTGATGTTATCGTATCTCAACAGAAACGTGACTCGTGAGGTGCTAGGGTTAGGGTTTCTACCCAATATATGTCTAATTGTGATGTAAAACTGGGTTATTTCTGATACAGACGCTGATGTTATCGTATCTCAACAGAAACGTGAATCGTGAGGTGCTAGGGTTAGGGTTTCTACCCAATATATGTCTAATTGTGATGTAAAACTGGGTTATTTCTGATACAGACGCTGATGTTATCGTATCTCAACAGAAACGTGACTCGTGAGGTGCTCGGGTTAGGGTTTCTACCTAATATATGTCTAATTGTGATATAAAAGTGGGCCGAAAAGTGACAAGAAACAGCTTTATTAGTCACACAGACCCTACTTATTAAGTTCTGCCTTTATGGTACTGCAATTTTGCTGGAGTAGAGTGAGAGAAACTTGGGTGTACAGGTGTCCCAATTGTCATGGTTGATGGAACTTGATGTTCTGGTCATGGGTTCAAATCCAGAATATGAACCTTCGTTTCAGCACCACAATACCTCATGTAGTTGCATAAATTTGTGTCTTACTTTCAAATCACACTGCCACATGTCCATCTGTTCAGCTTAAGGTCACTATTCTCCAAACCAGTGATCAGAATGGATCCTCACATAACCAATCGACACAACTCTGCAGTGTTGAAGCATTTAAGACCATTCGGCCAACTTTTCTCTCAAACAGCATAAAACATCCACACTATGGTGACGACAATCTCTTTAAAATCAGACCTTAGTTCTTGCTACTGTTAAACAAAGATCTGAGGACATCCCAGTATGGGTCACGTCAGACCGACCTTGTGCGAACTTTTACCGACCAATAGAATGACCAATCAGAAGGCAGCTTTCTCGTGCTTTACGGCACTAATTTCAAATTGGCGACTACGCTTCGAAACATATTTGGACAAATTCTCGATTTCAAATTTGAAAACTAAACAAAAGAACATTCTGGAGTGGCTAATAGATGGTCTAGATTGTATGGATTCAGTCGTTAAACCTGTAACTATCTTTCGGAATACCGTTAAAAGTTTTCGAGGTTGTATGATTAGAAATCACATTCTGACTGTCACTTTCATGATCTGGTTAGCGACGCTCTGATCGGTCGAATGAAAGGTCGCTCTGACGTGACTCCTAATGGGATGTCTTCAGGTCTTTGTTTAGTGGTAGCGAGAACTAAGGTCTGATTTTAATGAGATTGTGGTGACGGAAACACAACTAGTATCACATGTATTCCAATACTTTATTCTATTACAGAAATCGATTTTTTTATACTACATATACATCAGTAGTGAAAACAAAAAACTTCTGAATACCATATTTGTGCAACTTATACTTAAAGATGGTGTCAGTTATCTTCAACTTGCTGAATATGAACTTTAACATTTGGTCATGACAATATTAGTGTTGGAATCAAGAGTGCAGCGTCCAGTTCATGACATCACTTTAAAGCAGATATCTGAAACCACAAAAAACTGAATCAAAAATCTTATCTGGAGCTCTGTTAAAATACTGTAAAATTTGCATTTTATCTCAAAACTCAAATAAAATATTTCAAATATTTCAAATGCACACATTTCTCAGCCCATTTATACACTTTATTAACAACAATTAGTGAAAGCACACTTTCAAGATTTATTTTCTGGCATATTTCTCAGCAATGGTGCCCCAAAACTGCTACCCTTTTGATAATTCCAACCCAATAAGTACATAGAAGGTTGCATGATCAAAAACATAAGAACAAATAGTTGAAGGCAAGTGTTTTAAGAAGCACATAGTGTTTCAAATTAAAAATATGACTAAACTTAATCAAATAGATTGCAAACATATGTCCTAAGTCTAGATGTATACAATGAACACTTCTCAAGAACATCTGTACATCCTTACAACAGGACTAACTTGCATAATTTCAGAGCAGATTTGTTGATATGCTATTTCCGATGACCTAAAAATGCATTTGTGGGGGAAGTATTTAAATGTATGGGACCCATGTATTTTACCTGAAGTTTAACCCAATCTGTGGTATTTCATGAAGGGTGTTTTAGCAAGGGATGACTGTATTTATGTTTATGTTGCAACAATGCAAAAAGAACCAACATCAGATATTTCAAATCCATATCTTGAACAAATATACGGTTTGGAATCCCAATAAAATTCACATTTCTTTAACTGATTTGCCGCTCTGATAAAGGGTACTTATATATTTTATTATGTGGCTGTTTTCTCAATATCATTTTCATTTTAACACTTAGATCAATTCATAACATTTAATACACTCCTGTGTCACCATTTACAGTGTTGATATTTTCCATTCATCACTCCAATTTACCGGTATATGCATAAAACCAAAAGGACTAAACTAAAATGCAGTAAATGTAGATAAGGGGGCACATGTGAAGTATGTGCAGTTAAAGTAACAGCAGTTAAAAAAATAATACTATGCCCCAAAGTACAATGTAATATAATTTAGCATCGACGACAAATTCAATATGGTTGACATGGTGGCCATATTTAGAATCTAGATATTATCACTGTCATCTTGTTACAATAACAAGCAACTAACCAAGTCACCGAACCTGACCACCCAATCACTTAACTCGTCCCTTATAACAAGGATAGGTTGCAGTGGACCTATTCTAACACAGAATCACCACGATGGACTGATTTTTGTGATTCTTGGATTTCTTGGATTGTCATTAAAGTAAAAGTTTTAAACAACTGAAGGTTGATGCAAGCTAACATTAGCTGACTTCAACACTTGGTACCTGAACAAATAACACCTCTACAGACTGAAATTTGTTTAAATATATCAACATTGGTCTATGTTTTGTGTCGTTATATCCGCAGCCATGTTATTTTCGACCACCTTAAAAGAAGATAAATTTGAAAGTGACTATTGAACATGACATGTCTTTACACACATGACCATTCTATTTTATGTTGTAATTTACATTTCATGTCCATTATTCATGTGTTCAATCATTTTCAGATGACTTTTGGACTTTTGGACCCCACAGCCCCTCAATACCTGAAAAGTTCATGGTGAATCTCAAACAGCAGTTACGTGGGTGATTTCTGACCTGCTGACAGATTATTGTTCAGATCAATATTTGCTTCAACTGAGACACCCACCTCAGTGCAGTTATGTTTGCGATTTCGGACCTTCTTGATTTTGTCTGATTTTGCTGACTTTTTGCCTAGTTTTACATTTAATGTATATTTTATAAAAATAAAAGTCCAAACAAAGGAAACAGTGGATAAATAACACATAACAAGCCATGAGGAATTTATCATCCTTTAATTTTCAAACCCCTGATGAAATTTGGAAGTTTAATCTTACCCAAATGTTGAAAAACTTACTTTTCCACATAAATTTTTTAACCAGATGTTATTCTTCCACCTTTTTTGATTTGCAGATTTCCATGTCAGACAAAGATCAAGCGGTGTCATAGGATTCCTTTTCACTTGATCAGGAGGGATGCTGTTGTGTGCCAACTGAAATAAAAAATATGATGATAATCAATGCTAGTCCATAGTCATACCGCATCGGGGCCTTGGTCTATAATTCAGGGTAGGATTTCATTCTGTCTTACCACCTGCACCAGGTGCAACAAAGTGAACTAAGCAGGTTGCACCACCAAAATTTTCTGTTATTTTGAATTTTAAATAAATTCAAAGAAAAAAAACCCTTGAGAATGTGCTCCAGAATTTATTTTGAGGTGAATCTGTACATGCCTTTTCATATCATGATATCGAGTTAACAACCTTAAACAGAAGTCTCAAAGTGTCTGTTGTGATTGTAACCTCATGAGTGACTGTTCTATTGGTAAATGTGAAGAATGAGTCCTGCAAGTTCAATGCATTCAGACCACCGGTGTATTTCACTATTTTCATGAACTTTTGTTTCCTGGATTCGAAAAGACTTGCAGCCAGTTCTAAAAGAATTCAGTTTTCCACTATGGCTGGAAATGTTACGTGCACTGGGTGCGACCTAACCTCACCTAAAAGTTACCGACTCCTAGGCCTACTTGCACAGAACAATCTTAGCTACAATCGATCTTAGGCGGCTACAATCAATTTTACAATCACCATACAATTGTCCTATTCCACTTGCACAAACCCATCTTAGTGTGATTGTAAGACGGCTCATCTAAGATTGAAATCTTCAACGGTGGAGGTACGAATATCTTAAACTCGACTCCTGTCTACAGTTGTCTGCAAACGCGCATAGCTCGCTGCGTATACAATAAGTGGAACTGTCCACGACACAACATGTACCTCCCTCCATGGCACCTTGCACAGTTTGAAGAAAGGTTCCAATTATTTGAAGGAAACGATTACTAGAATGATGGGATATATTTTTGTCGGCATTAATAGTGTCATGATTTAGGAATTCAACAGTTATCTGTTGCAACTTGAAATACCTACTCATGTTTTTTATCAAAAGTATTGAAATACGAATAAATATATTATTTAGTGACACAATCATTATGAAAATTAAAATAAACAAGTATTTGTCACAAAGTAACGAAATGTCCCCCGCCTGTATATACACCATAGTACCAAATATGAAAACAATCCAGCGATTAGTTCTTGAGATAATGAGGCAACACCATTTTCCAACTCCAAAAGCAGATTTGCCTGCTGTGACCTTGAAAATGGGGTCAAGGTCACCAAAACCGACTGGTGTCTGCGGAGTCTGTATATACACCATAGTTCCATATATGAAGACAATCCAGTGTTTAGTTCTTGAGATATAGCGGCAACACCGTTTTCCAACTCTAAAAGCAGATTTGCCTGCTGTGACCTTGAAAATGGGGTCAAGGTCACCAAAACCGACTGGTGGCTGCGGAGTCCGTATATACACCATAGTTCCAAATATGAAGACAATCCAGTGTTTAGTTCTTGAGATATTGCGGCAACAAACAAGTGGGACGTACGGACGTACAGACGTACGAATGGTCGTGAATACTATATCCCCTGCTCCGCGCGGCGGGGGACAATAATACTAAAAATATTTCCTTATAACATAACACGGGGGAGCTTTTCGTAAAATCCTAAATATATCCTTCATGCTTTCATTTTGTTGCTGTGACAAAGGATGTTATGAGTACTTTTTCAAAACACAGGAAGACGCAGGATTTCAAGAATGCATGGGAAATAATAATAATGAATAATGTTTCGAGAAAGCAGTTGTTTAATATATATTCACTTGGTATTAATTACATTGATAATTATTTTTAAAAGGTGTAAATTTTCCTTTTGCTATTTATGGGATATTTTACACAAATTTCAAATGTCTCATCATGTGTATTTGCTTGTTTCTTTTCTTTTTAATTCAGATTTTAAAATCCCTCGTCCCCTGCCAACTCGATTTTAGATTTAAACATGTTTGACCTCATCTAATATTTATTTGTAAATTAATTTAATGATGAACTAAAGACAAAATAACTGACACGAATGGGACCGAAAAGAATAACATGGGGAGCTCAGCGATTCTACAACATTAATACACTGGGCAAGGTAGATTCTACGCTACATGCTTACACAAAGGGAAACCACTCTCATCTAGAGTATAAACTATGATTAGCTGCCCTTGAGTTATCGAAAAGGTCACGGACGTTACTAATCGCTTGCATACAACTTTTTATCCTTCCCTTGATTAGTGAAAAGGTATGTTGTTTCACACTTCTTTCAGCATTGAGTCCGGTGGGTGTAGTACTTTTACTTTTAGCTATCGATTCGATAGTTAAGTGGTTCACTATTGCAATTAACGATATTTCTGACATTAAATCTTAAATTAAAGTGTTGATTTGAATCATAAAGTAACGAGGCAATATTTGAACATAAGGCAGAATATTTATGTGAATTAGATGAGGTCCTGCACGCCATTTTGTCAAGTTTATTCAGGGACCACAACGATCTTAGCTACTTAAGATTGGTTTGGACCAATTGTAAGTTTCGCTTTTAGCTTACAATGATCATAGCCTACAATCCCTTTGATCAATTGGACAGCGATTGTAGCCGAAGCCTAAGATCGTGATCTTAAGGATTTACAATAATTGAAGTGCTAAGATTGTTCTGTGCAAGTGGACCCAGCAATGTTTTTACCTGCACTGGTGGGGCTTGTATGTAAAGAAAACGATCCCTGTAATTGAATGTGATTATGGCTATTAATGTAGTGTTTAAGTAATAGTATAGACAAATACTACAATGACAATGACAGAATTTGCTGCGTATATTTCTTATTTATCAACAAGTCATTAAAGCCTTAATCATGTTAATGATATTTAACATAACCCTAAGGTAATGATTGTTCTCTTCCTGTCAACATTAACAGATTTCTACATTCAACTGTTTATTACTCAAAATTGTGTATCTTGTGTAAGTGAATAGGCAATATAATCAGAAACCTGTTATCAGTATGAGTTGGTTTTCAAACACAGAGATCCGTGAAAAACGTTTGACAGTGACCATCATACGTAAGGGCAATGTGTTGAATTGGAACCCCTTTAATCACATGTGTCTAATGGTACGCTCTCTGCTTGGGTGCTGCCTAACTTCCTTCTTTCTTACATGTCATTCACTGGATACAATAGATTATATTTGAAGATATTGATGAATTTCAAAACAATTGTCATACACACTGGTATACCATAATGACATTATATATGGAAATAAATACCTTCTACAGCAATTTAATATCATCTAACAGTTCTGGAATAGCTAAATATGCAAACAAAAGAATCAACATATTTTTACACTTTAGATGACTTATTGTACAATAACTTACATGTCTGAGTAGTGGAAGAAAACAACATTTTAAACATCTGCCATGTTCGTCATGCTCAAACTCAGATAAAAATTTTGAATACATTTCTGGTGACTTTATTCCTGGAACCACACAAAAAATGACAGCTTCATAACAATTGTAGGTTATTAAAGAAATGTAAAAATAAAGCATCAATGGATTCAAGGATTACATTAAAGTTAAAGTTCATAAATGTGCAAGTTATTGAAATACACACAACAGAACCTCGTGCAACATTGTCACCATATATTGAATTACATGAGCAGTCTGTGCCCCAAAATGATGGGTCAACTAGCCCGAACAGGATTTTAGTGTTGTCATATTGACTATTATTAATTGGACTTACTACATCGAGCCCAATGTTACTAGACTTGCGTTTCAAATTTGGAGTCTTTTCAGGAAGAATTGCTCAAGCAAAACATGTTATGTGTTTACAGTATAAAGAATTAATACATGCATTATAGTATACTTTAAAGTACCAGACAACAGGCTACCGCTTGCTACTTGAATTCCGAAATGAAAAGACGTTGATCCTCCATTGTGTTCAGTAGTATACAGTGCAGAGTCTGCTGAGTCCAGTAAAGAGTTAGAATATAATATGGCAGTTGCCTTATTAGTCTATAGCAATTTGTTATCTGCAAATATATTAAAAAATATTTGACATTACTATTTAATTGGATTAGGAATTCCAGAGATTAGATAAGTACGTAAAACATAATTTTAACAGTATGATTAGAGAATCAAGATGATATTTTTAAGATTAGAAATTGAATTTGTCCCCAGTTTTAAGAGGCTTGGGTAAACCCTGTAGTGACCAGGCTCCATGGTCCAGTGCACAACATTTACAATGTAGGTCTAAACTAAACAGGGGGCTAGCACTTGACCTTACATCTTCCACAAACAGCCTGTCAGCTGAAAAGGAACATAGCAGTTTTCTTATAATGTTCAATTCTTCCAATCCAGGTGCAAAGAGTTTTAATATTTATAATATTAATAAAAAAACATATACTTTATGCTGACATCCCTAGCACCGGTTAAAATGATGGTGACTCGCTTGTATTACTTTTCCCATTTCTATTAGATTGGAGACACTTATTTCAGAATATGATGAGCAAACTTGACTCTTGTCAGGTAATATTATCAATAGGCACCTTGCACAAACATAACTTGAGAAAGACAGAGACGAGTTCAACAAAAAATACCACAACAAGGTAGTGCACATTAGCTCTGTTGTGAGGAAGATACTGATTTTACAACTAAAGTTGAAGCTTTCTAGCACATTTTACAAACATACATAACCTGAAGATACCATATTAATTGTGTTACGACAAAGCATGTGCAGATAGTTGTGGGAACCTTGGTTTGTGTCTCTTACAAACTGATACAAACAGTCTGTATTCATAATAATCAATAAAAATAGCACATTATAATACTAGAGTATAAGAGTATTTAAAAAATTGAACTGTATAACTTTGTTTGTTTGTTGTTTAATGCTGTACTAAGCAATATTTGTGCTTTGACAGCTGCCTGTAAATAATCAAATCTGGACCTGACAATCCAGTAATTGACATCATGAGCATCAATCCATGCAAATGGGATACGATGACATGCATCAACATGGTCTCTGAGCCTGACCCCTCAACCACGTTATGACAAGGATAGTCGCCTCTTAAAGCAAGCATGGTTTCCTGAAGACCTTTTCTGACCCTGATCTTCACTGGTAAATGTGTATAACTAAACATGCTGAAGTAGTGCCCATGATCATGTGGCACTTGCTGCCAAGACAATGACAAGAACTACAGTAACAATATTCCCTCTATTTGGGTACAACACAAATTGTCTAGAACACTGAGAAATAGGCATATTTGCTCTTAGTCCTTATTAAAGTGTGCTGGTACTGTACAGACAAATCTTATTTTGGAATGTATCAGAAATAACAGGAAAATGACAAAGACAAATGTCATTTTTTGTATGTACAATGACATTATAATTGGGGATTCAATTATACTTACTAAAACAGGATGTTGCCAGCAGTGTTCACTACGGTTCATGATAAGGTATTCTCAGTTCTGTCCATTGCTCATAGGCAGATGTAGTGTCTGCTACTGTCAACAAAAACATTCCAACATTACACCCTACACTAATCTGTATGAGTTAAATGGAGATATATTCATCAATAAAATGGTATTTTGCCTTCAGACATTTAGTTATCAGAGGATTACAGTTAGTTAGATGCTGTAGGCCTAGTCATAATCTTAAAATATGACAACACAATTATTAGGTATAAATGGATAAATTTGAATTTGTTGACAGAGGTTGCAAAGAAACAATACAGATGTAGACTGACCAGTGTAATTAACTAACAGTTGGGGAATGTTGATCATGACTTGTTATAAAGTCTATCAATCCGCCTCTCTACTATCAACAAACATTTAGGCCTACAAAACAAACACTTTCACCAGCACTTTGAGAATACCAGGGTCACGTGATGGTGTTTTGGAGCATTTTCAGTTGTTTGGGACTTCAGAGCTTGAATAAATTTTCTGCCTCCGATGCATACTGCTGATATGTAAACAAAATACGACATATAATAGTATATATATGTAAATTATAGTAATTACTACCAGTTGGGACTAAAAGAAACGAGCGATTCTGAAAAGGAACGTGACCCAATCGTCTTTGGATGCAAGTGATTCGCGTCAAAACATGGGCGCTTGATACCAGGCAACAACTCCAATACAATATACGATAGGTATTACTGTAGGACATACTGTTTCGGTAAAGCACTCTTTGTTTTAGAATAAACGGCATTTATGATGCGTGACCTTGCTTGTGCACGTCGACGTTGTTTCCAGGGACGCAAAGAATGCAAGGCTACCTGTAGAAAACACGCACATTACGTTCCCATTTGTGGCAATGGTAGGAATATTGAAGAGTATTTATTGGTATGAAAACACCAACGTTTGTTGTGCTCTATTTAGAGAACAGACACAATTAACTAGCCTAAACTTGGCCTAGGTTGAGTGGAACAAATGACGTGACCTTACACAAAATGGCGGCGGATGATGATGCATGACGAGGTCATGTGACCAGCTGGTGATGTAATATTATCAATGGTTACCGTATAATTTTCTTCATGATAATGTAGATTCTATTTGTAATTCCAGGTGACTGGGAACATACTGGAATGGTGGTTGAAAGGTTTGCATGGCGCATTTCACCATTACGAAGCTACTTCTCATCTAGAAAGCTAGCTGGTTACAGGCTGAAGTTGCTCTGCGGTAATCTATTTATTGTTCTGTTGAGACAGAGCCTGGCTTGCATACCGTCGACGTAGACTCGTTGACCAATGAAAATCATTTTAGACATGCTCCTTTGCCGTTACCTAGTAGTAGCAGTAAATGTTAGTCTCCAGAGACGTAGAGACCGTCTTTGTACCTACTAGTAGCAGGTCATAGTTGCTAACAACTCTGTGCTAGTAGTAGGTAATATTTCCTGGATCGGGTGGTTTCACATAGGTGTCAAGTCTCAAAGGTCAGCTGAGAAAGCCGACGTGGCAACTATTTTCATAATGTCCAATAGATCCATTGAGTTAGATAACAATGAGCAATCAATCAACGTATTATCAGTTAACCCTTTGAACAAAGTATGTTGTTTTTACATCGGCATTTCACGCCATGATGAGTGTATTCCCTTTGTTTTAGTAAACCTAGATATGTAAACAGTTACTTGTGACATATCCACTGTGTAAGATAGCAGTGATTAATCAATCAACGTATTTTCTGTTGATCCTTTGATGGCGAGGAATGATCCGTTTACGAAAAAGTAAATCAACTGATCATTCACCTCTTGCTGGGCTGCCACGTGCATATTACATAACACACATTCCACCTCACTTTAAACCTGGATTTAGATTGAATAATTACCCCAGACACAAGAAATGCCGAATGGGAACCCTTATCAGGAAATCTGAGTGGTGCTACCACTAATTGTACCTGTAATAAATTCATTAACTGAGCATCAAGTGAATGACGACAAATACACAAGTGTAGGGTTATACGAGAAAACATGGATGACAACAAGGGTGTAGTAATCGCATTATCCACGCAATCTGAAATCCGAAAATGCTTTCACTGCAGGGATACTTTTTTCATTATTAAATTATAACCATCAGGGGTATTTCCAAATGACGACGTCAGATGAGCTTCCTCCGTTCTTTTTGTCTGTTTGTTTAGGCTGAAGAAATTAATTAACATGCGCCCTTTGCCGAAATCTTCATAGATCACGGGTAACCAACTGTGTCCAAAAATGCGTAAAACAAATATTGCCTCAAAGTTTATTTAGCTGTCCTTGCAGACGGTAACCAAGTCTGTTGTCACGCTCAGTTGCGTTAGCGAGCAAATCAACTCATAGCAGCTAAAAAAAGTTTGTTAGTTGCCTCTTACAACAAGCATAGTCGCCTTTTAGGGCAAGCAGGGGTTGCTGAAGACCGACCCTACCCCGGATCTTCACGGGTCCGTAATAGTATGAAATGTCGGCAAAGTATGACGACCAGTCCCTTTAACAAACACAACGTATTCCATTTGACACGACACAATAACAACAGACGCCAAAAAGTATTCAACAAGCTGACACGCGATACTTCCTTGCACGGATTAACCACTTGTAAGTGGGAATTCTGTCAATCTCCTGCACAGAAAGGACACACATAATACAATACCGTCATGCCTGAACGGTGGGTTAAATCATAGTTCAATTTTATAAGCGGCTATCCAAACCAATACCCGCCAGACATACACTAGGGTTATTTGTATTCGCGGCTCACAATCACAGGGGTTTACGAGGTATGACGAGCGATCACTGTTTTCAGGGTGCTAGGCGATAGTAAACAACCTGCCCTGAACACGTTTGACATTCAAGATGGCGGCCATATGGGCTGTCACTTTACTGCTTGTTGGATACTTTTCGGGTAAATTGTCACTTTATTTACAGTACTTTTTAATTTGTCTTTTTAAAGTTAACTCTATTTGTGTATACGTATGGAAATTTGTGTTTATTTATTAAGAAAAGGTGCTGTATGATGTACACTTGATATTGGCTCGCAGCCAGCTGATCGGTTTGTTAACGAGAACGGTTATATATCCCCGGCACACCCATTATTTCGACCGACTTATGTTTAAGAATACGTAATTGGTGATATGTTTAAACCATTAAGTAATTTTATACAATAAAAAGAATAAAATAATTATTATGCAAATTATAGTCAAAATGCAATGATGCTTGTGTATCGAATATCAAATCCAATAACACAACCCTGTCCGTTTATCCATAAATTAAAAACTCCACCTGTCAATAGTAAACAATGATATAAGTATGAAACACAATTTATATGTAATATATGGAAGACAAATATTCATACTTTTCTATCTAGAAATTCACTTTAATGACAAACGTGATTGAAAATGTGCTGTCTGTAGATTTTAGCATTGGTGTTGTCAACTGTGTGTTAACGCTTCTATGTATTTGAAAACTGTCGGTCTAAATCGTACCTCCTCCCTATTTAGTTTTTTTTAAAATAGTCCACCGAGGAAATTTCGTTACAAAGCAGCTTCCAGTGAAGATTAAAAATAACCCAGTTTTAGAATACCACTGCGCAGTTTTTTAAATGTGTGTGACGTCATGAGGAATCACTTGGCGATTGAATGTCGGGCGCTTTTTTATATGAATCTGCTTCTTTGACTTCTTATTTTAAATTATGAGAATGTTATTGCTATTTATCTGTTATAAATATCACCATAGCCTAATAACATACTTACGTAATACTGCACTTAACCCGTGTACGTGCCTTGAATAATATAGAAGTCGTACGTCTCTCGAAGTAACATGGTGACGAGTCGGATATGTTTACTAGACACTAGCTTTGTATTTGCTAGTGTCATAAGCGCCCCGCTCTAATAAGCGCCCACGGCAATATTTGCTAATATATTGGCTAGTGAACAATCCCAATTAGCACCCCTTCCGATTGATCAATGTACGCAAGACTTATTTATTCGTGTATAATACGTGTGTTATATGCATCCTTAAATATGGAAATTAAATTCTGGAAAAATATATCTGTCGTATATAAACATTTCAGGCTGTCAGCAAAAACCACGAAATATACGATCTTTCAACTTTGTTATTTTTCACCCAAGTGTTATTCTAATACGAGCCCCCTAATTCTAAGTTTGAGACCGTCCTGGACGCTTATTATGTCGAATACGGTAATGTGGATCAGTCACATATTTGGTGTGTTGTATCTAAACTCATTTAGGGTCTAAACACACGTGATGAGCCTAAACACAACACCCCCATAATGTAGACATCTTTAGAATTTAAACATGTTTAAATACTAAATATGTTCGAGAATTAAAATATGTTTAGTGTTTAAACATGTTTTGAGTTTAAACATACCTAGACTTGAAACACGACAAAATACATACCATTATGTATTGTCTAATAATCTAAACATGTTTAGAATTTAAACATATTTAAATAAAGTGCATATCGTCGGTGATTAAGTCATATACTGTTACTAAACATAAAAATGTACAAATATTAAGCTAAGTTAAGTTTTAGTTATAACCCTCCCCAACCCATCCAACCCTAGTTCTGAAGGCCCATAAGCTAAAATAGAAACCCATAGAAAGCGCCCCTTTTAAAAAATACCTATAATCAATTTCAAAGGGGTAAAAAATATGGGACAAGGAAGGTGTTGAGATTTGTGTTTAGGATCTGAACGCATTGTCTACAGTGTAAAGCATATTCATTACTTGTCCATAATATCGATTAATTCGAGAACCCCACCCCGTTCCTACACGTCCTGCTTTCTCATGTAACATTACTGTTGACAAGATCAAATTGAGTCCACGTCTTTCCAAACGATCCCATCAATACTTTATTGCGATATTGCACAGTCATGTTAAATCTTTTGTCCTGGCGTGTCAATAATGGCTTCACGCCAAGATTTGGACGACAGCGCGGGTATGGTCGGGGACCAAAGAGTTTGTTATACAACATTTAAAAAGGTACATTTGATCTTGCCAATGTACACAGGCCTATTTCTAGATCAAGGCAGTCGTATCTACCAATTTCTTCAATGGTCCGTGGTACGATGCCTGATTTTAACGAATTCACGTGAGTTTCCTTACTCAAGGTGAAGGCCAAGTGCAGTAAACTACGGTTATAACGAACTAAAATGGAGCACTATTTTTAGCTTTTTATAACCGTAGTTCGTTATATGCACATATACAGCCTACATGCAGCACATGAATGTTCAGTTCGTAATATCCGTCAGTTCGGCATAAGCGTGTTCGTAATAAACGTAGTTTACTGTACATGTTATATTCAAATGAAGCTGGGGGCAGGAGTGGCCTTTTGATTTTGGGTTCGAATCCCGGTTCGCCCCGATTATGTTTCTTGGTTTGTCAGCGCCATACCCGTGCTCGTGGGTTTCACCGAAGTAGTAAACGTTTGCGACCTGCATCACTTGGGGCTTTCCTCCAACATTAAGCTGACACGCCGTGATATAACTGGAATACTGTTAAAAGCGGCGTTAAACCCAACCCAACCCTACCCAACCTCACTCACTCACTCAACTATGAATAAATCAAGATTAGGAAATATAGCTTACATGGTGAATGGGCATTCGTAAATTCAGGGCCGGAGCAAATGGATTCGTCCAGATGTATACATTAGTTGTCCTTTGTGCATCATCCAGACCCGTGACGATCCGGGATAGAACAGGTCTTCAGCAACCCATGCTTGTCGTAAGAGGCGACTAACGGGATCAGGTGGTCAGGCTCGCGTACTTCGTTGATGCATGTTATCGTATCCCACTTGTGTGGATCGATGCTCATGATGTCAATCACTGGATTGTCTGATACACTCGATTATTTACAGACAGTAGTCTGGGATATTGCTCAGTGTGACAAGGTTATTTGACCAAAAGGTTTAACTGAAGCTTCCGGTATATACATGTAGATGAACTGATATCGTTCAATAACTGTCAAATAGCCAATTCCCGTCCAATGAATTTTCCAACCTGTAAGGCCTCATCTGTTTCATATTAGATCTGGACCGCCTCCGTGGTCTTGTGGTAGAGCGTCCGCCCGGAGAGCGGAAGGTCCAGGGTTCGATCCCGGGCCGCGTCATACAAAAAGACGTTAAAAGATTGTACTTGTTGTTACCCTGTCTGGCGCTCGGCATTAAGGGGCTAAAACAAGGACTGGTCGGCTCGGAGTCAGTATACTGTGTCTGAGTGGGGTATTCATGTTAAACTGCGGCATATTATCTCAGTGAGCTCGCACTATAAATCGGCATCAGTCCGGACTAGTACAAGCAGCCACACACACACATACACGTGCATGCACGTCGCTATATAAGTGCAATAATCTTGGACGCGACGTTAAACCCAATTTCACCTCACCTCACCTCATATCAGATCTATGCATACAGATTCAGGGTGACAAAACACTCTCCACAAGACTGTATGAGTTCAACTTTGGTTCATGTCGAGCAGTATTCCAGCATCTCCAGCCTTTGGTGTTTACAATTCACAACTTTTGAGATACAATCGAGCATGCCCTTTCTTCCAAGATTTCAAAAAGCGTCACACGACACTTGCTCAGAAGTTGTTTGATCAAGGTTATAACATTCAAGGCCTCAGTAAAAGCTTAATTTTTTGTGTGGTAAACATGTGGAGGACATTTCCAAATGTGACGCTTCAGTGACAACATTCTTTCCGATCCAATTCCCTATTTTGACTTTACCATTATGTTCTCGTGTTTTGTACAGGTAAACAATTGACTTGCCTTTTCATGTGTTTGTGGCCGATGCCACCGATGGGGCAGGATGCGTTTATCTTTTCGCGAACACCTGGAATCATCACTATTTGATAGGGGGGCGCGTGTTGGCCCAGTCGTCTAAGGCGCCGCGATTTGCTGTGCAGAGTTGCGTCCCCTGGAAACGCCAGAAACCTATGATTGTGGGTTCGAATCCCGCTTTGCCCCGATTATGTTTCTAGGTTTGTCAGCACCATACCCGTGCTCGTGGGTTTCACCGAAGTCGTAAACGTCTAAGACCTGCATCACTTCGGGCTTTCCTCCCACATTGAGCGGACACGCCGTGACATAACTGGAATACTGTTAAAAGCGGCGTTAAACCCAACTCACTCACTCACGCTATTTGATAGTGATTCATAAACACATGCTCATGATATAGTCGGAATCGTACAATCGGCTCTGCTTTTGGTAGAGATGTCTTATGACTATGGAAAGGGTTTTGTCACTTTTATTTACTGCATTGAGACAATTAAGAAAAGAATGACGTCATCATTACCGCTGACGACACTTCAAGTCTTGAGCTACAAACGCACTCCCAGCTATATATTTGATGGAGTTAGCAGTGTCGTTGTTGACAAAACCTGGTGTAAATGTGAAGTTGACAAACCCTGTTGTCGTTGGATTATAATGCACCCTCGCAACGAAAAGGAGACTGCAGAACGTTGTGAACGAAGGGGTAATTGATCAGATTATTTAAGAATTGACTTTCATCTTGTGTGAGTTCATTGGAGTATAATTAAATTTTCGTTGTGTTCATGGAAATTCCTGCATTCTGATTAGCTGAATTGGTCACGTGTTTTTGCATTCATTTCCCAATGAATGTAAAAAATTAAGCCACGCCCACCGCGGCGCACTACTTTTATTACTGCGGAATGTCGGGGAATCCCAATATTACAGTCGAGGGAATTCCCTATCTGCAGACGTGTATCGTCATGCACAGGACATTTAGCGACTTTCATGCATATTCATTTTCCAAACAACCGTTTGAAACCGAAAACGAATGAAACAGCAAACGTGCAGGCTCTCTCGCCTGTTTTTTCCCCGCTCGTCTCGGTTCAACTTTCATGTCTTCGGGTTTCATGTCTAACTAGCATTTCTCTAACTGAGTTTTACCGTAATCAGGGAAGTAATGTTTGAATCACGCAGTAAATGACCATGTTATTTGAAACAGCCGCCTTCTCTCGGTCGACATATTTCTTCCGGTTCGTTACAGTCTGACTGTTGCAGTTCTTTTTGCCTCTTGCCTTAATTGACAGGTCTAATGAACATTGTTTTAATCCCACTCTCCGTTGATTGGCTACTGACTGTGTGGGCGTGTCAAGTTATGTGCATAAATTAAACGATCACCTGATTCATGTCACGCCATTGTATATATTCCTACACCTGGAATGTTTATCAATGTCGTCATTTTTGTCTGTTTTGATATATGCAACTGTTTTGGGTTAAACTATTGTAGATAAAACATGTTTAACGTTGTCGAATTAAATTATAAGCATTGACTGTATATTTTTTTCGGTTCATTGAGGTATGAATCGAAAAACCGATGTGCAAACTTTTGTAAGAATCCGCTACGCGGATTCATACAGTTTGCACATCGGTTTTTCGATTCATACCTCAATGAACCGAAAAAAATACACAGTCAATCCTTAAATGAATCTTCCAAGAGTGAGGGCAAAACTTTATGAAAGTCGGAGCTTGCGACGTTCATACAATGTTTGGTCCTCACTCTATGAAGGTTCATACTCCAATGAAAGACCGCCTTCATGTAGCTGGAATATTGCAGAGTGCGGCGTTAAACAACAAACAAACAAACAAACAACCAACCAACATGGCCAAGTTCGGCAGCTAGCATCCCTCCTGTCTTCCCGTCGCTTACCTTCTGTTCTCGTCTGTGCACTGATGATGTCGTATATTGTTGCAGTGTGTGATGGCGCCGTTTGTAAGACACGACGTCGCTACAGCAGCTACAGCAGCTACTACTACACGTCCTACATGTACTGTTCCAATGGATGCTGCGGGTCAAACACAAGACGTTACTGCTGCAGCTCGTCGTGAGTGCATGACCGATCTTAACTTCTGTCAGTAATCCAAGCGTAACTGTGTAGTATATCTGTTTATCATACGGGGGCACGGGTGGCCCAGTCGTCTAAGGCGCCGCGATTCGCTGTGCAGAGTTGCGTCCCTTGGGCACGCCAGAAACCTATGATTGTGGGTTCGAATCACGCTTCGCCCCGATTATGTTTCTAGGTTTGTCAGCACCATACCCGTGCTCGTGGGTTTCACCGAAGTGGTAAACGTCTGAGACCTGCACCACTTAGGGCTTACCTCCCACATTAAGCTGACACGCCGCGATATAACTGAAAATCTGTTAAAAGCGGCGTTAAACCGAACTCACTCACTCACTGTTTATCATACAGATAGTTTGTGGGTGCATTCCATTAACTCTTCCATCATTGAAGTAATGGTGGATTCCGAAGACTTTCTGAAGTGTTTTTAAATATGTTGTTTTTTAAATTAGTATTTTAAATTTCAAAATTGGAAGAACTGTCTCCGTGGTCAAGAGAGTCTGTCCGGAGAGCGGAAGGCCGGTGGTTCGAATCCCGGCCACGGCAAACCAAACAAACTTTAATACTTCCCTAAACCATGTACCATGTTGTTACCCTGCCTGGCGCTCGGCATTCAGGTTATGTAGTAAGGAATGGTCGGGTCGGAGTATATTGTGTCTGAGTGAGTATTGTTTTACGCCGTAATATTCCAGCGATATCACGGCGGGGGACTATAGACAAGGGCTTAAAACAATGTACCCATGTCGGGAATCAAACCCGGGTCTTCGGTGTGACGAGAGAACGCTTTAACCACCAGGCTACCCGACAGCCCCGTGTCTGAGTAAAAAAACTGTATGGTGGGCCAGCACTACCTAACCGGCATTAGTCCGGTCGCACGCACGCACGCACGCACGCACGCACGCACGTACGCACGCACGCACGCACGCATATGCACACGCAAACACGTGTATGCACGTCGCTAAACATGTGATGTTAAGCCCATTTTACCTCACCTAAATGTAAAAAAGGAGTGAGTGAGAGAGTATGTTTTTACGCCGCTTTTAGCAATATTCAAGCAATATCGAGGAGACAAATTTTACTTCACACATTGTACCCATTGGGGGAATCGAACCCGGGTCTTCGGCGTAACGAGCTAACGCTTGACCACTGGGCTTCCCCATCGCCCCGTCAAAAAGGAAGACGACCTGCATGAGATTAGCGAGATATTGGTAAGAAAAGATACAGTTCAGATACTTTACACGGACACACACTTGAACCTATTTCAAGGTTTCGCGTCGAGTGTATATTGACCCCGTTAATCTGAACTAAACTAATCCGGAAACCTCTCTTTCCGGACGAGTACTGCCAGGAACAGTAACCATGTTCAAAGGGAGATCACTCTATATTCAGTGTAAGTTGTTAATCCTGAGAATTTCACCAGGAACGCTGTCGTCCGGATCTCACTATTGAAAGGGGCACAATGGTTTTTTTTGTCCAGGAGTGGCTACATCGTTGGTATCGTGATAGGGGTGATCCTAACCGCCATGATTATCGGATTCCTCATCGCCTTCTGCATAAAAAAGAAGAAGAGGCCAGGACGAATCATCATGCCGATGCCGCGTCAGCCTGTCATGACGTACACAGGGACATCACGTGAGTCATCATGACGCAACGTACCCCTATTGGTATAAATGTAACGGGGCATCTGGTTCGACTTTTCAAACACGTGACAATACCCTATGACGTTATTTGTAGTATTTTGTTGCCAGTCACACCGGCGAAACAATGCCCTGTGACGTCAGGGGTCATCGAGTGTACATAAGCTCCTCCCAGTGATCTATCATTTGTTTACTAAATATAGTCTAAGATGGTTCCCGGCTCCGGCGCGTCGTCAACGTGTGATATTAGAGACGGGGCCCAGCTTATAAACATAGCCTGCGGCGGCGCATTTTATAGCAAGCGCTAGTTTACGAAAGCACTTTTATTTATTATATATTTTTTATTTCGTTTTTCTCGAAATTCAAACGGCTAAAGTGGTTATACATGGGAACTAATATTATACATATATTATTTTTTCGGTTCATTAATTAGAAGATAAATACTATGTGTGTGTCTATTTCCGGGATTTTATCGAGTATTTGCATCTTGGAAATTCATCTCGAGACCCGAAAGCGTTATCTATTATGGGGTGTGAAAGAAACAGATTTACTGCACTCGTGCCTGTCAGATACCATTGATCTTACAACAGCTCGTTAGATACGTTTTGAAACAACTCGTAAGATCAATGGTATCTGACAGACACTCGTGTAGTAATCTCTATTTATTACTTGCCCGTGAAAAGATCACCCGTTTAATAAGCATACAGCTGTATTACACATTGTGTAATACCAAAATGCGTGCTTATGTACTCTCGGAACACGTTTCACGGAAAAATATTGAAAGCTCTCAACATCCCCTGGCTTATTCAAAGACATTGCATGTGGAGTTGATAGATCACTGAGAGGAGCTTATGCACACTCGATGACCCCAGCAACCTTGTTGCTAGGCTGACGTCACATGGCATTGTTTCGCCGATGGATCTTGCAACAAAATTATACAAATAACGTCATCGGATATTGTGACGTTATTGTAAACTTGGAGATGCAAGGGCCGTTCCACAAGGTGATCGTATTGTAGCGCTACGACAGTCGTTAGTCGAAGTTAAAGTACGTGAGTTGCGATAGTCTTAGCCCTACGATAATTTTGTGAATTCTGAAGGTGGACCGTTGTATTGTATTAAATTCATACGTTTCAACTTTTGACGTGTTTGGAGTATTATTCTGTTAAACTCAATTGGACTATGCCGTGGATCGTGCAGGTGTCAGTCTATCATTCAAAAAACGTTATAAATGGCAAGTAATAAATAAAATACTAAACTCGATCCCGTGTAATACCAATTTTATGAAACGAGTGAATAGTTGTGGTATCTGACGAGCGAAAGCGAGTACCACAACTATTCACTCGTTTCATAAAATTGGGAGCTCGTTTAGTATTCTATATTTAGGGCTGACGACATCCAAATGTCGCCAGTGTAGGATGGGAACATTCGTGTGCAACTCGTGTTATTCCGGGACAAGCCGAATCTTCTTGCAGGTTACGGAAAGGGGCGAGTGGTGACGACTGGGGTGGGAAGAACGCGTGCAGTGTTGACCAAGGACTCCGGATCCATGTGTTTTGAAAAACCAAAATGTCATAAATAAATTGCCTCTCTCCAAATTCAGTATATTTATATTTCAATACATCTTGTATATTAAAAGATGTGTAGCTCTCGTATTATTTTGTAAAACAGAAAATGTAATATAATCACTACAGTGCTTCACAACTTGATAGTAAACTTTAGTTTAGACAATTTCAAAGTGACAATGAGGCCATATAGTATCTCCTTTATTAATTTATAATGCACCCTTCCGTGTAATGATATTAACCACAGTGAATTGGGTTTTTTTCACGGTTACCATGACAATCATGTAAATAGTGTATCGTGATATACCTTGTCTTATTAATGACAAATTGCCCCGCATTTAATATTATCTATCTTATATAGAATCTTTGGCTTACTAAAGAACACGAACTACGAACCAGGTTGTTGAATAGCTAGTGAAGCATATCAGGTTGCGCTACTCACAGCCTGATCAGAGAATGTAAATATGGAAATAGGAAGCAATTAACAGTATTTCATGTTGCAAGGAACGAATGTGACCGAGACACGATGCTGTATAGAGTTACCTCCCTTGCAACCTTGATGATGATTTTTGCATCTCGTTTGATTTTAGATTCTGAAATTTCTTGTCATTTAAGGTTCATTAAATAGAAAAGCAACAATGGCAGTTTTGCAAACAATGAAACGCCCGATAACCTCTCAGTTTTGTCTTATAGACCATGACTCTCTCTGTCTCTCTTCTCTCTCCTTCTTTCTCTCACTCTATCCTCCCCTCTCTCTCTTCTCTCTCTCTCTCACTCTATCCTCTCTCTCTCTCCCTTCTCTCTCTCTTTCTCTCTTTCTCTCACTCATTTCTTTCACTCTATCCTCTCGTCACTCTCTCTCTCTCACTCTCTCTCCCCTTCTTTCTCTCACTCTATCCTCCCCCTCTCTCTCTTCTCTCTCTCTCACTCTCTCTCCTTCTTTCTCTCACTCTATCCTCCCCCTCTCTCTCTTCTCTCTCTCTCACTCTATCCTCTCTCTCTCCCTTCTCTCTCTCTTTCTCTCTTTCTCTCACTCCTTTCTTTCACTCTATCCTCTCCTCACTCTCTCTCTCTCACTCTCTCTCCCCTTCTTTCTCTCAGTCTATCCTCCCCCTCTCTCTCTTCTCTCTCTCACTCTCTCTCCTTCTTTCTCTCACTCTATCCTCCCCTCTCTCTCTTCTCTCTCTCTCACTCTATCCTCTCTCTCTCCCTTCTCTCTCTCTCTCTCTCTCTCTTTCTCTCACTCCTTTCTTTCACTCTATCCTCCCCCTCTCTCTCTCTCACTCTCTCTCCCCTTCTTTCTCTCACTCTATCCTCCCCCTCTCTCTCTTCTCTCTCTCTCACTCTCTCTCCTTCTTTCTCTCACTCTATCCTCCCCCTCTCTCTCTTCTCTCTCTCACTCTATCCTCTCTCTCTCCCCTCTCTCTCTCTTTCTCTCTTTCTCTCTCTCCTTCTTTCTCTCACTCTATCCTCCCCTCTCTCTTCTCTCTCTCTCACTCTATCCTCTCTCTCTCTCTCTCCCCTCTCTCTCTCTTTCTCTCTTTCTCTCACTCCTTCTTTCTTTCACTCTATCCTCTCCTCACTCTCTCTCACTCTCTCTCTCCTTCTTTCTCTCACTCTACCCCCTCTCTCTCTTCTCTCTCTCACTCTATCCTCTCTCTCTATCTCTTTCTCTCTCTCTTCTTCTTTCTCTCACTCTATCCTCTCCCCCTCTCTCTCACTCTATCCTCTCCTCACCTCTCTCTCTCACTCTCTCTCTCTTTCTTTCTCACTCTATCCTCCCCCTCTCTCTTCTCTCTCTGACTCTATCCTTTCTCTCTCTCTCTCTCTCTCTCTTTCTTTCTCTCACTCTCTCTCTCTCTCCTGACATACATCATCACATCTATGGTTGAATTGTTTGCGTTTCATTTCGCGTACTTCCTTGATTAACACTGGTTGACACTGGTTAACACCGGTTAACACTGGTTGACACTGGTTGAATCTAGTCATCCCTGGTTGCCAGCAACGTGGTAACCTCGGTTAACTCAGGTTGAATCTAGTCATCCCTGGTTGCCAGCAACGTGGTAACCTCGGTTGACTCAGGTCACTCAAATTTCAATAATCGAACGCACCTGTTGTAATATATATTAGATAGTATGAAATAATTTACTCACTCACTCACTATTTCAGGAGGCCCAGGACCTGGCTCCTATGCCCCACCCACCAGCTACTTCCCAGTGCCCCCTCCCTACAAATCCCACGACCCCCCACCCCCGTACGGTTATACAGATCCTGCGTACCCTCCTGGATATAACAATAACAGCGGTCAGATAAATACTCGGACGCTACCCCCAGGAACTATCCACCCACCGCCGTCCATGCCACCGGCATGGCAGGCCCCACCCCCCGGGTCCCCTCCGCCGAATAACAATCCATCGATGCCACAGCCCGACCCCCCTCAAATGTTTCAACCCAACCCCCCTCCAACGGCACCGTCATATGAAGCTCTGACCCCCCACCGGCCTCCCCTCGCCACAGCACCAGGGGCTACAGGTAGTCACCCACCCCCAGCGCACCTCCCACCCATAAACAATCTACCGGCGACGGTGCCACCCAACAAGGAAGGACTATGAGAGCAGTGATGGAAATGCCGTAAATGCTTGAATAAGCGCTGGATTTCGTACGGTCTTCAGACAGCAGTTTCTTTTTCAGAAGATGTCTACATTGAATTCGTTCACTTTCGTTTAAAAAGTTACCATGTTTTACAATTTTTAAGGGAAATCTCTTGACAATGTGTGTATTCAATACAGGCGTACAGTAAACTACGTTTATAACGAACACGCTTATAACGAACTGACGGATATAACGAACTGTTTTTTGGTCCCGTCCATTTCCTGTAAATATGCTTATAACGAACTACGGTTATAACGAACTACATTAAGTGGTCCCTTTCAGTTCGTTATAACCGTAGTTTACTGTATATTGTTTCTGTGCGGTACGTTCGCCTGTCTGTGCGTCTGTGCGTCGGTACGTCGTTGATTCAGGCTAGACGTTTATTCAAGCATTTACAACAGACCCACAGTCTGGAGGCTAGCTTCCACAGAGTACCACAAGGAAAAGAGGAGCATATCAGGCTCCTGTGTGCCTTATCAAGTGCTTCCCTACATACGGAAGGTGACTGGATTTTATGAACGTTTGAATTTTCGAAACATCATGTTTTGTATACTAAGTGCACAGTTATGCAAAATCCATATATTGGGGAAAGATTATTTCCATGCTAATAATCCGCCCTGTCACATTATTACGATGGTTTTTTTTGTAAATTGGTAACACCAGAGTGATTTATAACAAGGGTAAGAATTGAGGCCTGTCATTTGTCAGGGGTCAAATGTAAAAGATGTACTTAACATAACTTTGACACACATAATATCGTTACAATCAGCCTTCTGGAAGACAACAATGTATTTATTTCAATGAAATACATTTCACCGACTGTGTCCTTATGACATAAGGGGCCATGTATTTCACATTCTGGGATTTTATCCCAAAAAATAAAATGTCCCCGACAATTCTTGAAAAAATAAGAAGATGTTGGGAAAAAATCCCAATTGTCTTCCACATTTCTTACATCGTTGCAATGTGTTTTCATAAAAATATTTTGACTCATAGTTTTAATGAAAACAATTTGGGTTTGCAGTTTTAGCTGAAAAAAATATCTTTAAAAAATCCAAACCCTCCAGAATATCAAATGGTCAGCCCTGAGTCTATTCTCTCCGTACTCAACACATTTACAGACCGCCCACTTATAGTATTTATATTTACATAAAAAGATGTGCAGTATATTTTTTGTAGATACGATATTGTAATATAAATAATTGCATACTTACATGATGTTTTCCCAGTGTTCTTGTGGGAATAACACGTGCCCTGTTACCTTGATAATACACGATTAAATTGAGGATGAGTTGGTCACAATGACTGCTTTATAGAAATAGTAGATGTACATATTCTTGATTTGGTGATATTACAAAGAGCGGTCAGCTAAGTCTGACTGTTCTAATGGTTTTATAATGGTTTGGTTGGTCCAGACTATATCCTACAAACTATAGCTGCAGTGTTGCTGATTCCACAGTAGAAACAAACCTCCCTCCCTTATTTTCAATTCAATCAATCATACGTGTAGTATTGTTGAGGTGTGTTGATCTAACCTGTCACGTGATACGTTAGAGATAAAAAGGCGAGAGAGTGGTTTATGTGAATGAGTGAGGGAAAATGTAACGAGAACAAGTTTATCATCTAAAACTGGCTCCCACAGGAGATTACACTTGGATGAGATAAAATTGCATCACAATGCTTTGCAGACCATTGTGACGTCATTGTTACCATGACGTCACAATCAAATGACGTCACTAATGGCTCTGCAACTGAAGCTGTTAGCTGTATTTTTTACACTTATGACACTGCTAATTACTGTCTACAAACTGAAAAAGTTGGAAGAATGATGTTTGATGATAAATAAAATCTCACCCTCGTGTCTTTTGATATCAAATATGTCAACACTCGTTGATAACGGTAGAAAAACTCCTTGCCAAGCCTCTGAGTTTTTCCACTTTTATCAACTCGTGTTGATATAGTTGATATCAAAAGACACTCGGGTGAGATTCTCTATTTATTATCTACAAGTATGTCCCCAAAATACATCAAAGGTATATTTAAAAGAAAATTTGTCAAACATATTTTAGCATAACAATACTATTTACGGACCTTTAAAACTCGGACTATATTCAATCAGCGGATGTGTACATAGAGATGGAGGTATTCAACACGTACATTGTTTTGAAAATGTGCACATGTATGTATATTTGTTCTCCAAGGTCTTTCATATCTTTATGAACATATTTGACTTTATACGCAGTATTATGTCGGACGCCGTCTTCACAGCAATACACTCCGCGTGTATGTTGTTGAGAGATTATGATTTGCATACGTAAACAATTTGACGAGACATCACCACGATGTGGAAGAAATAGTTCTGTAAATTGTATCCGAGTCCAAAAGAGTCGAAATCCCAAAAGGAGACAATAACTGCGACTAACAAACATGCACGTTATTTCCGAAATGTTACATTTGATATGCTTCGCGCGTTTGTATCATATAATCGTATTGTAACTTTAACAAGTGCCTTCAAATGTATAATGGTGTTTTTGGTAAATAAAATATGTACTATTACTATGATACCAGAATGGTCACAGCAGAGATAATACAAATAAATAATACAAATAATGAATAAATAATCAACGTTTGTTCACGTGGAAAGAGTGTGTAGTTTCTAATCACCGACTCTTGGCACCACTGGTATTTGTATTAGTTGTTTTTAAGTTTGTTAATCGTATATTCATGTTTTAATGGGGGTCTGTCGGGTAGCCTAGTGGTTAAAGCGTTCGCTCGTCAAAGACCCGGTTTCGATTCCCGACATGGGTACAATGTGTGAAGCCCATTTCTGGTGTCCCCCGCCGTGATATAGCTGGACTTTTGCTAAAAGCGGCGTAAAACCACACTCACTGACTGTTTTAATTGGTCCCTTATAGTTAGAGCGTGTCATGATAGAACTTGTATTGCTCGCGAAATGATATATAAACTATAAAAAGGATCTCGACCACTCGCCCAGTTTGTAAAAAATATAATGTGAAATGTATGTTTTGGTCCTGACCTTTTTAGAAAGGTCAGGTCTGCAAAGGTATATTTGAGCCGAGCCCAATATTTTTATGCTAACCTAAAATGACACCGTATACGGCAACTAAAGACACTATAACGAATTTATAATGCGGAAATAATTTCAACTCTGGTATTCTTATCGCACGTTTCATGTCAAAATGTAAACTTGACACTTATAACATGAGTTGACGTGAAGGGTCAAAGGGAGACTACTCTTCAAACCTTAGAGGCCAAACTTTTTTGAAAGTTTTAACTATAATCTCGAACGTGATCTAAAAACCAGATTAATGTCCTTGCACATCAAATTAATGACAGTATAACACAAAACAGTGTCAAATAACGAATTTCGGTACCAGAATTTCCATGTGAAATATGTGAGGTGAATGTTAGAAAATCCAAGTTGGCTGTTACTGACGGTATACAGTCTCATATTTCGTCAGTATCAACCATTTTGGATTTTTATTGACAGTATACGGGCTCATGGGGTGAGTAAATCTGGTCTCTGATTGGTCAATCTAACTTTGAGGCATAATAAAGCATTATATCTCATGTGATTTATCCAAACGGGATTCTTTTGGTTGCAAACGTTATAAGCGGTAACTGTTGCAGCCTACAACATCATTGGTATTGTTGGGCAGAACAGCTGTGATATGTTTATTAATGTGGTTATGTAGAAAGGAAGTTTTGTATCTGTGTGAAAACGTTTTTTTCTCAATAAAATCAATGGAAAGTGTTGCATTTTCTTTTTTGCTTAATAATTAATACACAAGAAGAAAAGATTTGTCCAATGTCTAGTAAACTAACATGGACCAGCTTATGTGTACTGTACGAAATAACCCGTGGTCACTGTACAACAACAAGTCTCATGTACACTGTACGCAAGTCGTCCAACTGTGTAACCCACTCATGTGCACTGTACGCCAGTCATCCAACTGTATAACCCACCCATGTGCACTGTACGCTAGTCATCCAACTGCAAAAACCCACTCATGTGCACTGTACGCCAGTCATCCAGCGTTCACTGTACAGAACCCACTCATGTGCACTGTACGCCAGTCATCCCGCGTTCACTGTACAGAACCCACTCACGTGCACTGTACGCCAGTTATCCAATCATATAACCCACCCATGTGCACTGTACGCCAGTCATCCTGCGTTTACTGTACAGAACCCACTCACGTGCACTGTACGCCAGTCATCCAGCGTTTACTGTACAAGAACCCACTCACGTGCACTGTGTGCCAGTCATCCCGTGTTCACTGTACACAACCCACTCATGTGCACTGTGCGCCAGTCATCCCGCGTTTACTGTACAACAACCCACTCATGTGCACTGTGCGCCAGCCATCCCGTGTTCACTGTACAACAACCCACTCATGTGCACTGTGCGCCAATCATCCCGCGTTTACTGTACAACAACCCACTCACGTTCACTGTACGCCAGTCATCCCGCGTTCACTGTATAACAACCCACTCACGTTCACTGTACGCCAGTCATCCCGCATTCACTGTACAACAACCCACTCACGTACACTGTACGCCAGTCATCCCGCGTTCACTGTACAGAACCGACTCACGTGCACTGTACGCCAGTTATCCAATCATATAACCCACCCATGTGCACTGTACGCCAGTCATCCTGCGTTTACTGTACATAACCCACTCACGTGCACTGTCCGCCAGTCATCCAGCGTTTACTGTACAAGAACCCACTCACATGCACTGTGCGCCAGTTATCCCGCATTCACTGTACAGAACCCACTCACGTGCACTGTACGCCAGTTATCCAATCATATAACCCACTCATGTGCACTGTACGCCAGTCATCCTGCGTTTACTGTACATAACCCACGCACGTGCACTGTACGCCAGTCATCCAGCGTTTACTGTACAAGAACCCACTCACATGCACTGTGCGCCAGTCATCCCGCATTCACTGTACAACAACCCACTCACGTACACTGTACGCCAGTCATCCCGCGTTCACTGTATAACAACCCACTCACGTGCACTGTACGCCAATCATCCCGCGTTCACTGTACAGAACCCACTCACGTGCACTGTACGCCAGTTATCCAATCATATAACCCACCCATGTGCACTGTACGCCAGTCATCCTGCGTTTACTGTACAGAACCCACTCACGTGCACTGTACGCCAGTCATCCCGCGTTTACTGTACAAGAACCCACTCACGTTCACTGTACGCCAGTCATCCCGCGTTTTTTTTACACAACCCACTCATGTGCACTGTGCGCCAGTCATCCCGCATTCACTGTACAACAACCAACTCACGTACACTGTACGCCAGTCATCCCGCGTTCACCGTATAACAACCCACTCACGTGCACTGTACGCCAATCATCCCGCATTCACTGTACAACACCCCACTCACGTGCACTGTACGCCAGTCATCCCGCATTCACTGTACAACACCCCACTCACGTGCACTGTACGCCAGTCATCCCGCATTCATTGTACAACAACCCACTCTCGTGCACTGTACGCCAGTCATCCCGCATTCACTGTACAACAACCCACTCACGTGCACTGTACGCCAATCATCCCGTATTCACTGTACAACAACCCACTCACGTTCACAGTACGCCAATCATCCCGTATTCACTGTACAACAACCCACTCATGTGCACTCTGCGCCTGTCATCCCGCATTCACTGTACAACAACCCACTCACATGCACTGTACACCAGTAATCCAGCGTTCACTCAGCAATATTCCAGCTGAAGGACGGCGTTCTGTCAATAAGTCTGGGCCAGACATCATGAACATCGATCCCCGCAATTGGGATATGTATATGTTCATATTTAAAGCAATTAGATTCAGTTCTCTATAGTTCCTGTAATCCCCGTCAGCATGTATTTATAAGCGATTGATAAAATGTTACTTTAGGACCCCCAGAGACCCGTGACGATTCGGGGTAGTACAGCAGAGGCGGATACAGCTTTTTTGAAAAGGGGGGGGGGGGGGGGGGGGGATGCACAACTAAGATCTATTTATTGTCTTTGGTGGAAATTCATACAGAAATAAAGATTTTTTCGAAATAAAAAAGGGGAGTGGGGGGGGGGGGGGGGGGGGGGGTGCGCACCCCACCCACCCCACCCCCCACCCACCCCTCTGTATCCGCCCATGTACAGGTCTTCAACAACCCAAAGTCGAGTTTTTTTACGTAAGAGGCGACTGACGGGATGGTTAGTTTCCCAGTTGAGCTGATCGATGCTCATGATATCAATCACTGGATTGTCTGGTCCAGACTTGATTATTTACATACCGCCGTCATATGACTGGGATATTGCTGAGTGCGGCGTTAAACAAAAATCAAACAAGAGGACCCCACGAAATTATTAAGAGCCTTATACCATGCATTCTAAATATGAGATCGCGACGGAACTTGGTGCACGTGCAACAGTGGCAGAGAGCGTATTCCTCGTGCATCAGGCAAGGGCGACTCACACAGAATAAATACAGGCAACAAAAAGTTCTGGTGTATTTTTTAAATATTTTCCATACGACAAAGCTTCGTCAAAGTGTGAAAGCAGATGTGTTCTAAATAGGGGAATAACCTCGTACCTTGGGACCTCGGCTCCATTATTTTAAATGAATCGGGAACATGACGTCACAAAATTGTTTCAATTTTTATTCGAGGTAAAAAACACTGGCATTCCCCACTTCAACCTTGCTCCTCCTCAGACTCTCCGTTTAGAGACAACGGGCAGATGAATATGAGTCAGAGTGTCAGATACATATTGGCCTTGTAATAGTGTTAATGTAATTCTTTTAATAATGACTGATAAAATTCGCTAAGTAACTGGGTAACTAATAACTATTTCGGTCAGTGAGCAGTTATTTGGAGCATTTCTTTCATTGACATTCACCACACAGCAGGGGCGGTGTGATGATGTGGCAGTGTCCAAGCAATAATCACCCCGATTCTCCATTCTATATCAACATTCTATCGCGAACAATTCGCCGAAGTGAAGAGATAATTCGTCTCGAATTCAAAGATCCAGGTGACTTAAAGGGCGGTGGGGTAGCCTAGTGGTTATAGGCCTTCGCTCATCATTTCGAAGACCCGGGTTCGATTCTCCACATAGGTACAATGTGTGAAGCCCATTCTGGTGTCCCCCGTCGTGATTTTGCTGGAATATTGGTAAAAGCAGCGTAAAACCAAACTCACTCACTCACTCGTTTTCATTTACACTTGAGTCATCAAAAACCGATAAGCAATCATATTTCTCGTCGGTAGGTCTCGGAATGACAAGGGTAATCACAAATAGCATCACTGCAGCCCAGAGCTTGTATGTATTCCATCTGCGCACTCAATTTCATAGCAGCATGACGATGCCGCGGTAAAACAGATTATCTAGTTGGTAAATCCAGTTCGTGCATATTTGCTCTTATACAGACCCCCTACATAAACTAACCATGAGTGAGCGAGTTGGGTTTGACGGCGCTTTTAACAGTATTCCAGTTATATCACGGCGTGTTACCTTAATGTGGGAGGAAAGCTCGAAGTGATGCAGGTCCTAGACGTTTACCACTTCGGTGAAACCCACGAGCACGGATATGGTGCTGACAAACCTAGAAACAAAATCGGGGCGAACCGGAATTCGAACCCACAATCATAGGTTCCTGGCGTGCCCAAGGGACGCAACTCTGCAACCCGTGCCCCCTCTAACAATGAGAACAACGATATCCCTAAGTAGCAAGTATTTGGGTAACTACGGTATGGAATTATATACAGGAAAATTATCTGATATGCATTAAGAACATATCTCCAGCAACACATATAATATTACAATATTATTGGTAAGTGACTGTTCGGGTTTTATATTGACACATTAAAGAAAATTGCTACATGAGTGTTTATGTTTGTTTGCATGTCGTTTAACTAAGATCTGACTTTAATGAGATTGTGCGGTAGGCGAATACCACCAGGTAGGACCTAGAGGTATACACTTAGCAGAAGGACATTCGCTAGACGAATACCACAACATACAATACACTCAACATTTCAATAAACATATAGCATAGATACAAACTAAGACTAAAAGTAATTCGGTACTAGTGGCAGCGGTGTTAAGGCAGCTAGGCACGAGCGCCCCCTGGAGTGTTCAACATACGTCCTGGTGCACATCATTGAACTGTACAAAACACTCTGTGTAACAGTATACTTATGAAAGTAATGGTCGCTCGTGTCTAAACACTTGTGGCCATCTGTCACTGGTTGTGAGAATATATCAATTTTCATAGCTGTTCATGGGCTAAAGTCTCGTGTAGGAGTCTCTCTTAAGACAGGGGGCGGTCGGTTAGCTTAGTGGTTAAAGCGTTCGCTCGTCACTCCGAAGACCCGGGTTCGAATCCTGACATGGGTACAAAGTCTCGTGTAGGAGTCTCTCTTAGACAGATGTGATCACGGAATCAAACACATTACACTGTAACTATACTTCATTGTCTTCAGGTTGGACTGTACGTTGTTTTCCAGGTATATGACGCCAATATTCTTTCCACTTATGTACAGGCTGTTGTTGTAGTAGACAAGGCTATAAATCCAATCACTGAATTCCAACATTTCCGTTGTAGTATTAGTTGATAAAGATCGCTTCATCACCTTCTTGTTCTCGCTGAAATATAGGACATTGTGTATAGTGTCAATAGTAACAGCAAATACGTCACGTCCCACGTCTATCTGATGCAGTCTATTCCCATTATAATCAACAGACCACAACCCATAATCAGTTTTACAGAAATAGATCATCTTCTTCCCGGAGTCTACAGCAATGGCACGGGGATTGGATGTTCCGTGATTACGCAAGTCCACAATGCCCCGAAAGTGTTTCCCAAATGCCGACATACGACTGATTGTATACGTCGGATGGTATGTGGTAAGGAAGATGAGTTGTCTGTCAACATCGACTGCCATTCCAAGTGACGCGATTCCCTCCCGTAGTGTTGTGACACCCGGCACGTCCAGCCTTGAGGAGAAGATGCCATCTGGTGAATATCTACTGAATATCAGTCTCCTGGACACAGGCTCGCATGTTACAGCCTGAACGTTTGATGTGTGGAGATAAGAATATGTCTTCATGTCGTTTTTATCGATGGTAATCTGATATGGATGTTGTAAGAAGCCAGAGTTATATTGTACAACCAATATTCTCGTCTTGTCTTGAAACTGTCGTGTTGTAGGTGTTGTGGCCACTGACGTGAAGGGACGTCCAGGTGGAGTCGTGGGTGTGTAATGTGGGATGGGTTGTGTACTGTCAGCATTGGTCTGAAGGTCACGTGTCCTGTTGACGTAATTCAGATGAAAGTCTCCCAATGTCTGCACATCTTCCGCATGACTGGCGTTTATCACAATCAAGTCATTTCTCAAACGTACGTTCTGTTCCACAAGGGTCTCAACTGATCGTTGTGTTTCATTAATCTGTGCTTGCATGTCAGTACTCTGTCGTATGACGAGTAACACGTGATCTTTCAGTAAACTCACTTCCTTTTCAACATGGGTCACGTGACGATGTGTTAGTTTCAACTCTGCCTTTAGTTCACTCACCTGCTGTTCACATGCATCTTTGTCTTTCACAGTGTCCCCCAACTGTCTTGTGAGTCTCAGTGTCTGTCGCTTCATCTGCTGATATCCACGCTTCAGATGTTTAATCTGGGACATCACGTGACTGTTTACCGTGGCCTCAAACGACTCTATTTGACTACGTATATAGGAAGATACAATCCTCTCTGTCAAATCCGATCTCAGCAGTAACTCCAAAATGTCCATCTTGTTTGGAACGTCAGATTTTAAGTGGTTCAATTCCACTTTCAGCTGGTTAATTTCTTTCTCAAGCAAACCCATCTGACTGACAACTGCTGCAATATTCTCGTGTCCCTGAACCACAGATGAGGCTGCTACAAGCAGCACCAACACACACAAACTCGCCATGTTAGCTGGCAATTGTATAACTGTGTCAGAGTAGTGTAACCCGGAGCGAAGTGTCACGTGACTATCACATTACATCTGACATGGCAGCGGGTCAAACGGAAACACTTGAATCATACATGGCAACTGTGTCAGAGCACTGTTCACTTGAGTTTCCCGTCACGTGACTCCACGGGTCATAACCATAAAGTCATTTTATCCATTTTATCAATCGGTGATGGGGGTACGGGATCCATCGATTCAATAACATATTCATCTCAATGTGTGACCTGACGAATTTAAAGTTGAAAATTTCATAACTTTCAAGATATCATATGTTTACAAATACATATATGTACGGATTATTAGTTAAATGATGTATAATATTACATAACTTCATTTGTTTAAAGTAATTCGTCATTTCGCATTATATCAGGAAATATATAACTTCTAACACATGAGTATGTGAGTTGTTTAATCGACAATGTCACCAAAGGACGGGCCAGCGAAACGGGTTCAGTATCAATTTCTAAGACATGTGTTGACAAAACTAGCAACTTACTGACAGGTTGCATGTAAACAATTCTTTGAGCGAAACCTTAGAATTAAACTATATTTTGTTTTAAAAACAAACTCTTATGACACCCTTCTCTTTAGTGGCGCTACAACCTTCATTGCCAGCTCACCGCTACCAATCAAGCAATCAATCAATCACATTTTTTCTTTAAAAAACGGGGGCATGGGTGGCCCAGTCGTCTAAGGCACTGCCATTCGATGTGCAGAGTTGCGTCCCTTGGGCACGCCAGAAACCTATAATTGTAGGTTCGAATCGCGGTTCGCCCCGATTATGCTTCTAGGTTTGTCAGCACCATACCCATGCTCGATGTGGTAAATGTCTGAGACCTGCATCACTTCGGACTTTTTTCTCCGACATTAGTGAGTGAGTGAGTTTGGTGTAACGCCTCTTTTAAAAGTATTCCAGTTATATCACGGCGTGTCAGCTTAATGTGGGAGGAAAGCTCGAGGTGATGCAGGTCTCAGGCGTTTACCACTTCGGTGAAACCCAAGAGCATGGGAATGGTGCTGAAAAACCTAGAAACATAACATAACATTCAAGATTATTGCCCCTATATGGCAACACGCATGCGCGCGCGCGCGTGAGTGCGTGTGTGTGTGTGTGTGTGTGTGTGTGTGTGTGTGTGTGCCAAATTCATTTATTACCCAGGCCTTCATGGAACCCAGTCATTTTTACACAAACTTACGTTTTACAATCTATTTAAGGAATCAGAGATGGTTAGATAGTTATAATATAATTGAACATTTTTTTCAATTTACAAAAACCCAAACAAACTTAAAAACTCGGTATAATTTATATTACCTCTGAGTTTAAAATGAAGGCCTTTATCTGTGTTATCACCTTCCACTTTTCTAAGATAAAAAAACTAGCTGCCTGCATCATTAACTTTTATCATACCTTCACACCGCCTCCGTGGTCTTGTGGTAGAGCGTCCGCCCGGAGAGCGGAAGGTCCAGGGTTCGATCCCGGGCCGCGTCATACAAAAAGACGTTAAAAGATTGTACTTGTTGTTACCCTGTCTGGCGCTCGGCATTAAGGGGCTAAAACAAGGACTAGTCGGCTCGGAGTCAGTATACTGTGTCTGAGTGGGGTATTCATTTTAAACTGCGACATGGTATCTCAGTGAGCTAGCACTATAAATCGGCATCAGTCCGGACTAGTACAAGCAGCCACACACACACACATACACCTGCATGCACGTCGCTATATAAGTGCAATAATTTTGGACGCGACGTTAAACCCAATTTCACCTCACCTATCATACCTTCATGACAGAGTGAGTGAGTAAGTGAGTTGGGTTTAACGCCGCTTTGAACAGTATTCCAGTTATATCAAAGCGTGTCAGCTTAATGTGGGAGGAAAGCCCGAAGTGATGCAGGTCTCAGACGTTTACCACTTCGGTGAAACCCAAGAGCATGGGAATCGTGCTGACGAACCTAGAAACATAATCGGGGCAAACCAGGATTCGAACCCACAATCATAGGTTCCTGGCGTGCCCAAGGGACGCGACTCTACCCGTGCCCCCGCTTGTTAGGATGAGAAGAACCAAAATATAGATAGTTTTCTGTGGCGCTAAATACATGTACATGAGACATGTCCATATAAGGGCTGTCGCGTCAGAAACTATGTGAGTGAGATGCATTTAATGTCGCCGTTCCAGTTATATCACGCCCAGACAACTTGACGTGGGAGGAAAGCGATGCTGGTCTTACACAGTTACAACTCTAGTGAAACACTAACATATCAATAGCTTAAAAAGGACGAATCGGGATTAAAAAGCAGCAAAATCCTTCACAGTACAAAACGGGGTTTAACGGTGCGTCCAAGATTATTGCCCCTATATGGCGACACGCATACAATTGTGTGTGTGTGTGTGTGTGTGTGTGTGTGTGTGTGTGCTAGTTCAGACTTATGCCGGTTTTAGTGCTAGCCCACTGAGATACCATGCCGCATGATTACCCCACGCAGCCACCGTATACTGACTCCGAGCCGACCAGTCCTTGTTTTAGCCTCTTAATGCCGAGCGCCACACAGGGTAACGAAAAGTACCATCTGTTAACGTCTTTTGGTATGACGCGGCCGGGGATTGAACCCCGGACCTTCCGCTGCCCGGGGCAGTTACTCTACCACTAGCGGTCGTTTTGAGTGAGTCAGTGAGTATGGTTTTATGCATCTTTTAGCAATATTCCAGCTATATCACGGCGGGGGACACCAGAAATGGGTTTCACAAATTGTACATTTAGAATTGGCATGCGTCTCTTTCATTGCCTAGTAAACTAAAGTTCTATTCTTTGTTCAAGAAGGGTTTTGTTACTTAAAACTAGTCATTAAATGTAAACGTTAGTAAATTCAGAGTACAACTTGCATGATTGAGTTGTATCTCACATGAATTATTTATTGAGATGGGAGGATAGACAGGTATTCCACGTGAAAACAGAATTTGTCAGTGATGCAACTTAAACAAAGTAGAAGGCGAAGACCATTTTGAATTTGAGACAATCTGTTGGATAAAGGTTTGTTTGTAATGCAAGACTCTCACTGGATAATTTGGAATGTACTACAGGCCAGTGACCTTTAAGTATGTGAAATAAAGATTGATTGATTACTCTTCTTAAAAAAGAAATGTTCATTTTAACGCAATAGAACATATTCCTTTTGTCCACTCATCCCTTGGACCGGTTCGCCGAAATACGATTGTCGCAAAGACGATGGAGATTTGACCAATCTTACGCGGACTTTAGGACTGATCATATTAACATTTAAATGTATAACTTTCCCACTGAGATACTGTGTCTCGATGGAATGTTTTAGTCCAGCCTATACGGTGATGTGGACGCGGCTGGCTTAGCTAGGCACTGCTTGTTAGGAGTGAGTGAGTTGGGTTTAACGCCGCTTTTAACAGTATTCCAGTTATATCACGGCGTGTCAGCTTAATGTGGGAGGAAAGCCCTTCGGTGAGACCCACGAGCATGGGAATGGTGCTGACAAACCTAGAAACATAATTGGGGCGAACCGGGATTCGAACCCACAATCATAGGTTCCTGGCGTGCCCAAGGGACGCGACTCTGCACAGGGAATGGAGGCACCTTAGACGACCGGAGCACACATGTCCCCGCTTGTTAGGATGAGAAGAACCACAATATAGATCGTTCTCTCTGGAACTCAATACATGTACATGAGACATGTCCATATAAGGTCTGTCGCGTCAGAAAATATGTGAGTGGGATGAATTTAATGGCGCCGTTCCAGTTATATCACGGCAAGACAACTTGACCAGGGAGGAAAGCGATGCTGTTCTTACAGTTTCAACTTTAGTGAAACACTAACATATTAATAGTATAAAAAGAACGAATCAGGATTAAAAATCAGGGGAATCCTTCACAGTACAAAACGGGGTTTAACGAAATTAAATTTAATTTTTAATTAAGTTTAATCCTTAAATTAAAAGTTTAAACTTTAATCCTTCCCTAAACCATGTACCATGTTGTTACCCTGCCTGGCGCCCGGCATTCAGGGTTTGAAGAAAGGACTGGTCGGCTCGGAGTTAGTTTTGTGTTACGCCGCTTTTACCAATATTCCAGCGATATCACGGCGGGGGACTATAGAAAAGGGCTTAAAACAATGTACCCATGTCGGGAATCGAACCCGGTCTTGGTGTGACGAGAGAACGCTTTAACCACTAGGCTACCCGACCGCCCCGTGTCTCAGTAAAAAAAAACTGTATGGTGGGCCAGCACTACTTAACCGGCATTGGTCAGTCGCACGCACGCACGTCACTAAACATGTGACGTTTAGCCCATTTTACCTCACCTAAATGTAAAAAAGGAGTGAGTGAGAGAGTATGTTTTTACGCCACTTTTGGCAATATTCAAGCAATATCACGAGAGAGATTTTACTTGAAACATTGTACCCATTGGAGGAATCGAACCCGGGTCCTCGGCGAAACGAGCTAACGCTTGACCACTATGCTTCCCCATCGCCCCGTCAAAAAGGAAGACGACCTGCATGAGATTAGCGAGATATTGGAAAGAAAAGATACAGTTCAGATACTTTACATGGACACACACTTGAACCTATTTCAAGGTTTCGTGTCGAGTGTATATTGACCCCGTTAATCCGAATTTAATTAATCCGGAAACCTCTCTTTTCGGACAAGTACTGCCAGGAACAGTAACCATCAAGCTCCTCACAGCGATAGCCCGTTTGCGGAGCTCTCTATATATATTATCGCTGCCACCAGTCAATACTCCGCACTGTGAATAGGTGGCCACAACCATGCTTGGAGTTGAACTCGCAACTGAATGACCGTTATGTTTACAAACAAGTGACGACTGTCGTGACGCCGAATACACTTATAGCTGCTAAATTACTTTCTTCGTTTGTCAATTTGAATATCTGTTTCATTAAAACTATCGTGTTATTGATATAGTAAGAATGTAAGGGAAAAGTTGGTTGATTTTCCGTTAGTCTGCAATCTCGAACCATTTCTGACTATTAAAACAACAAAGTAAATTCATCTGGAAAACATGGTCAGTCGCTAACCTTTTCAAAATGAAATATCATGGCATTCCCAAAGACATAAATAAAAGTATCAACGTTACTACATTTGGGGTTAGAAGGCAAATTTCAGGATTCTTGTAATGGCCGCGCCCACACTGGTGGCAGCGATGTTACCGAGAGTGTAACGAAGGTGTCACGCGCTGGGAAGGAGCTTGATTAACCATGTTCAAAAGGAGATCACTCTATATTCAGTGTAAGTTGTCAATCCAGAGAATTTCACCAGGAACGCTGTCGTCCGGATTAAAGGGGTCTCACTATTGAAAAGGGCACAATGTTTTTTTTGTCCAGGAGTGGCTACATCCTTGGTATCGTGATAGGGGTGATCCTAACCGCCATGATTATCGGGTTCCTCGTCGCCTTTTGCATCAAAAAGAAGAAGAGGCCAGGACGAATCATCATGCCGATGCCGCGTCAGCCTGTCATGACGTACACAGGGACATCACGTGAGTCATCATGACGCAACGTACACCTATTGGTATAATGTAACGGAGCATCTGGTTCGAAGACTACCTTTAGAATACAGTACCACAAACCTTTTCAAACACGTGACAATACCCTATGACGTAATTTGTAGTATTTTGTTGCCAGTCACACCGGCGAAACAATGCCCTGTGACCTCAGGGGTCATCGAGTGTGCATATAAGCTCCTCCCAGTGATCTATCATGTGTTTACTAAATATAGCTAAGCTGGTTCCCGGCTACCAATGCGCTTCGTCAACGTGTGATATTAGACGACGCGCATAGGGAGCCGGGAACCAGCTTAAAATATAGCCTGCAGCGGCGCATTTTATAGCAAGCGCTAGTTTACGAAAGCACTTTTATTTATTATATTTTTTTCTTTCGTTTTTCTCGAAATTCAAGTGGATAAAATGGTTATAAATTGGAACTTATATTATACATATATTATTTTTTTGGTTCATTAATTTTCATTATTATGCACAAGAATGCAGTTTATTAGGGATATTATTTTAGGGCTGACCACACCCAAATGTCGCCAGTGTAGGGTGGGAACATTCGTGAGCAACTCGTGTTATTCCGGGACAAGCCGAATCTTCTTGCAGGTTACGGAAAGGGGCGAGTGGTGACGACTGGGGTGGGAAGAACGCGTGCAGTGTTGACCAAGGACTCCGGATCCATGTGTGTTTTGAAAAACCAAAATGTCATAAAAATGTAAAAAAAATAAATTCCCTCTCTCAAAATTCAGTATATCAATATTTCAATACCTCTGGTATATTAAAAGATGTGTAGCTCTCGTATTATTTTGTAAAACAGAAAATGCAATATAATCACTACAGTGCTTCAAAAATTGATAGTAAACTTTAGTTTAGACAATTTCAAAGTGACAATGAGGCCATATAGTATCTCCTTTATTAATTTATAATGCACCCTTCCGTGTAATGATATTAACCACAGTGAATTTGTTTTTTTCACGGTTACCATGACAATCATGTAAATAGTGTATAGTGATATACCTTGTCGTATTAATGACAAATTGCCCCGCATTTAATATTATCTATCTTATATAGAATCTTTGGCTTACTAAAGAACACGAACTACGAACCAGGTTGTTGAATAGTTAGTGAAGCATATCAGGTTGCGCTACTCACAGCCTGATTCTTGTAATGGGCGCGCCCACACTGGTGGCAGCGATGTTACCGAGAGTGTAACGAAGGTGTCACGCGCTGGGAAGGAGCTTGATTAACCATGTTCAAAAGGAGATCACTCTATATTCAGTGTAAGTTGTCAATCCAGAGAATTTCACCAGGAACGCTGTCGTCCGGATTAAAGGGGTCTCACTATTGAAAAGGGCACAATGTGTTTTTTGTCCAGGAGTGGCTACATCCTTGGTATCGTGATAGGGGTGATCCTAACCGCCATGATTATCGGGTTCCTCGTCGCCTTTTGCATCAAAAAGAAGAAGAGGCCAGGACGAATCATCATGCCGATGCCGCGTCAGCCTGTCATGACGTACACAGGGACATCACGTGAGTCATCATGACGCAACGTACACCTATTGGTATAATGTAACGGAGCATCTGGTTCGAAGACTACCTTTAGAATACAGTACCACAAACCTTTTCAAACACGTGACAATACCCTATGACGTAATTTGTAGTATTTTGTTGCCAGTCACACCGGCGAAACAATGCCCTGTGACGTCAGGGGTCATCGAGTGTGCATATAAGCTCCTCCCAGTGATCTATCATGTGTTTACTAAATATAGCTAAGCTGGTTCCCGGCTACCAATGCGCGTCGTCAACGTGTGATATTAGACGACGCGCATAGGGAGCCGGGAACCAGCTTAAAATATAGCCTGCAGCGGCGCATTTTATAGCAAGCGCTAGTTTACGAAAGCACTTTTATTTATTATATTTTTTTTTTTCGTTTTTCTCGAAATTCAAGTGGATAAAATGGTTATAAATTGGAACTTATATTATACATATATTATTTTTTTGGTTCATTAATTTTCATTATTATGCACAAGAATGCAGTTTATTAGGGATATTATTTTAGGGCTGACCACACCCAAATGTCGCCAGTGTAGGGTGGGAACATTCGTGAGCAACTCGTGTTATTCCGGGACAAGCCGAATCTTCTTGCAGGTTACGGAAAGGGGCGAGTGGTGACGACTGGGGTGGGAAGAACGCGTGCAGTGTTGACCAAGGACTCCGGATCCATGTGTGTTTTGAAAAACCAAAATGTCATAAAAATGTAAAAAAAATAAATTCCCTCTCTCAAAATTCAGTATATCAATATTTCAATACCTCTGGTATATTAAAAGATGTGTAGCTCTCGTATTATTTTGTAAAACAGAAAATGCAATATAATCACTACAGTGCTTCAAAAATTGATAGTAAACTTTAGTTTAGACAATTTCAAAGTGACAATGAGGCCATATAGTATCTCCTTTATTAATTTATAATGCACCCTTCCGTGTAATGATATTAACCACAGTGAATTTGTTTTTTTCACGGTTACCATGACAATCATGTAAATAGTGTATAGTGATATACCTTGTCGTATTAATGACAAATTGCCCCGCATTTAATATTATCTATCTTATATAGAATCTTTGGCTTACTAAAGAACACGAACTACGAACCAGGTTGTTGAATAGTTAGTGAAGCATATCAGGTTGCGCTACTCACAGCCTGATCAGAGAATGTAAATATGGAAATAGGAGGCGATTAACAGTATTTCATGTTGCAAGGAACGAATGTGACCGAGACACGATGCTGTATAGAGTTACCTCCCTTGCAACTTTGATGATGATTTTTGCATCTCGTTTGATTTTAGATTCTGAAATTTCTTGTCATTTAAGGTGCATTAAATAGAAAAGCAACAATGGCAGTTTTGCAAACAATGAAACGCTTGATGACCTCTCATAGTTTTGTGTTATAGACCATGGCTCTCTCTCCGTCTCTGTCTCTCTTCGCTCTCCCTTCTTCCCTCTCTCACTCTCTCTCTCCTCTCTCTCACTCTATCCTCTCCTCTCTCTCTCTCTCTCCGTCCCTGTCTCTCCCTTATCTACCCCTTCTCTACTCTCTCTCTCCTCTCTCTCACTCTATCCTCTCCTCTCTCTCTGTCCGTCTCTGTCTCTCCCTTATCTACCCCTTCTCTACTCTTTCTCTCCTCTCTCTCACTCTATCCTCTCCTCTCTCTCTCCGTCTCTCCCTTCTCTACCAATTCTCTACTCTCTCTCTCTCTTATCTCTCCCTTAGCCCCTCTCTTACTCTCTCTCACTCTCTCTCTCCTTTCTCTCACTCTATCCTCTCCTCTCTCTCTCTCCGTCTCTGTCTCTGTCTCTCCCTTCTCTACCCCTTCTCTACTCTCTCTCTCTCTTCTCTCTCCCTTAACCCCTCTCTTACTCTCTCTCACTCTATCCTCTCCTCTCTCTCACTCTCTCTCACTCTATCCTCTCCTCTCTCTCTTCTCTCTCCCGTAACCCCTCTCTCACTCTCTCTCACTCTATCCTCTCCTCTCCCCCCCTCTCTCTCTCCTGACATACATCATCATATCTATGGTTGAATTGTTTGCGTTTCATTTCGCGTACTTCCTTGATTAACACTGGTTAACACTGGTTGAATCTAGTCATCCCTGGTTGACACTGGTTGAATCTAGTCATCCCTGGTTGCCAGCAACGTGGTAACCTCGGTTGACTCAGGTCACTCAAATTTCAATAATCGAACGCACGTGTTGTAATATACATTAGATAGTATGAAATAATTTACTCACTCACTCACTCTTTCAGGAGGCCCAGGACCTGGCTCCTATGCCCCACCCACCAGCTACTTCCCAGTGCCCCCTCCCTACAAATCCCACGACCCCCCACCCCCGTACGGTTATACAGATCCTGCGTACCCTCCTGGATATAACAATAACAGCGGTCAGATAAATACTCGGACGCTACCCCCAGGAACTATCCACCCACCGCCGTCCATGCCACCGGCATGGCAGGCCCCACCCCCCGGGTCCCCTCCGCCGAATAACAATCCATCGATGCCACAGCCCGACCCCCCTCAAATGTTTCAACCCAACCCCCCTCCAACGGCACCGTCATATGAAGCTCTGACCCCCCACCGGCCTCCCCTCGCCACAGCACCAGGGGCTACAGGTAGTCACCCACCCCCAGCGCACCTCCCACCCATAAACAATCTACCGGCGACGGCGCCACCCAACAAGGAAGGACTGTGAGAGCAGTGATGGAAATGCCGTAAATGAATAAGCGCTGGATTTCGTACGGTCTTCAGACAGCAGTTTCTTTTACAGAAGATGTCTGCATTGAATTCGTTCACTTTCGTTTAAAAAGTTACCATGTTTTACAACTTTTAAGGGAAATCTCTTGACAATGTGTGTATTCAATACAGGCGTACAGTAAACTACGTTTATAACGAACACGCTTATAACGAACTGACGGATATAACGAACTGCTTTTTGGTCCCGTCCATTTCCTGTAAATATGCTTATAACGAACTACGGTTATAACGAACTACATTTAGTGGTCCCTTTGAGTTCGTTATAACCGTAGTTTACTGTATATCGTTTCTGTGCGGTACGTTGGCCTGTCTGTGCGTCTGTGCGTCGGTACGTCGTTGATTCAGGCTAGACGTTTATTCAAGCATTTACAACAGACCCACAGTCTGGAGGCTATCTTCCACAGAGTACCGCAAGGAAAAGAGGAGCATATCAGGCTCCTGTGTGCCTTATCAAGTGCTTCCCTACATACGGACGGTGACTGGGTTTTATGAACGTTTCACCGACTGTGTCCTTATGACATAAGGGGCCATTTATTTCACATTCTGGGAATTTATCCAAAAATTAAATGTCCCCGACAATTCTTGAAAAAATAATAATTATGCTTCACCTTTTTGGAAAAAAATCCCAATTGTCTTCCACATTTCTTACATCGTTGCAATGTGTTTTCATAAAAATATTTTGACTCATAGTTTTAATGAAAACAATTTGGGTTTGCAGTTTTAGCTGAAAAAAATATCTTTAACAAATCCAAACCCTCCAGAATATCAAATGAGTCTATTCTCTCCGTACTCAACACGTTTTACAGACCGCCCACTTATAGTATTTATATTTACATAAAAAGATGTGCAGTATATTTTTTTGTAGATACGATATTGTAATATAAATAATTGCATACTTACATGATGTTTTCCCAGTGTTCTTGTGGGAATAACACGTGCCCTGTTACCTTGATAATACACGATTAAATTGAGGATCAGTTGGTCACAATGACTGCTTTGAAGAAATAGTAGATGTACATATTCTTGATTTGGTGATATTACAAAGAGCGGTCAGCTAAGTCTGACTGTTGTCATTCTATTCATATCGAATGGGCCGGGTTTTCTAATGGTTTGGTTGGTCCAAACTATATCCTACAAACTGTAGCTGCAGTGTTGCTGATTCCACAGTAGAAACAAACCTCCCTCCCTTATTTTCAATTCAATCAATCATACATGTAGTATTGTTGAGGTGTGTTGGTCTTACCTGTCACGTGATACGTTAGAGATAAAAAGGCGAGAGAGCGGTTTATGTGAATGAGTGAGGGAAAATGTAACGAGAACAAGTTTATCATCTAAAACTGGCTCCCACAGGAGATTACACTTGGATGAGATAAAATTGCATCACAATGCTTTGCAGACCATTGTGACGTCATTGTTACCATGACGTCACAATCAAATGACGTCACTAATGGCTCTGCAACTGAAGCTGTTAGCTGTATTTTTTACACTTATGACACTGCTAATTACTGTCTACAAACTGAAAAAGTTGGAAGAATGATGTTTGATGATAAATAAAATCTCACCCTCGTGTCTTTTTATATCAAATATGTCAACACTCGTTGATAACGGTAGAAAAACTCCTTGCCAAGCCTCTGAGTTTTTCCACTTTTATCAACTCGTGTTGATATAGTTGATATCAAAAGACACTCGGGTGAGAACCTCTATTTATTATCTACAAGTATGTCCCCAAAATACATCAAAGGTATATTTAAAAGAAAATTTGTCAAACATATTTTAGCATAACAATACTATTTACGGACCTTTAAAACACGGACTATATTCAATCAGCGGATGTGTACATAGAGATGGAGGTATTCAACACGTACATTGTTTTGAAAATGTACACATGTATGTATATTTGTTCTCCATGGTCTTTCATATCTTTATGAACATATTTGACTGTATACGCAGTATTATGTCGGACGCCGTCTTCACAGCAATACACTCCGCGTGTATGTTGTTGAGAGATTATTATTTGCATACGTAAACAATTTGACGAGACATCACCACGATGTGGAAGAAATAGTTCTGTAAATTATATCCGAGTCCAAAAGAGTCGAAATCCCAAAAGGAGACAATAACTGCGACTAACAAACATGCACGTTATTTCCGAAATGTTACATTTGATATGCTTCGCGCGTTTGTATCATATAATCGTATTGTAACTTTAACAAGTGCATTCAAATGTATAATGGTGTTTTTGGTATTTGGTACTATTACTATTATACCAGGATGGTCACTGCAGAGATAATACAAATCAATAAATAATCAGCGTTTGTTCACGTGCAAAGAGTGTGTAGTTTCTAATCACCGACTCTTGGCACCACTGGTATTTTTATTAGTTGTTTTTAAGTTTGTTAATCGTATATTCATGTTTTAATGGGGGTCTGTCGGGTAGCCTAGTGGTTAAAGCGTTCGCTCGTCAAAGACCCGGTTTCGATTCCCGACATGGGTACAATGTGTGAAGCCCATTTCTGAAATGTATGTTTTGGTCCTGACCTTTTTAGAAAGGTCAGGTCTGCAAAGGTATATCTGAACTGAGCCCAATATTTTTATGCTAACCTGAAATGACAGCGTATACGGCAACTAAAGACACCATAACGAATTTATAATGCAGAAACAATTTCAACTCTCTGGTATTCTTATCTCACGTTTCATGTCAAAATGAAAACTTGACACTTATAACAGTGAGTTGACGTGAGGGTCAAAGGGAGACTACTCTTCAAACCTTAGAGGCCAAACCTTTTTGAAAGTTTTAACTATCATCTCGAACGTGATCTAAAAACCAGATTAATGTCCTTGCACATCAAATTAATGATAGTAAAACACAAAACAGAGTCAAATAACGATTTTCGGTGCCAGAATTTCCATGTGAAATACGTGAGGTGAATGTTAGAAAATCCAAGTTGGCTGTTACTGACGGTATACAGTCTCATATTTCGTCAGTATCAACCATTTTGGATTTTTATTGACAGTATACGGGCTCATGGGGTGAGTAAATCTGGTCTCTGATTGGTCAATCTCACTTTGAGGCATAATAAAGCATTATATCTCATGTGATTTATCCAAACGGGATTCTTTGGTTGCAAACGTTATAAGCGGTAACTGTTGCAGCCTACAACATCATTGATATTGTTGGTCAGAACAGCTGTGATATGTATATTAATGTGGTTATGTAGAAAGGAAGTTTTGTATCTGTGTGAAAACGTTTTTTTCTCAATAAAATCAATGGAAAGTGTTGCATTTTCTTTTTTGCTTAATAATTAATACACAAGAAGAAAAGATTTGTCCAATGTCTAGTAAACTAACATGGACCAGCTTATGTGTGCTGTACGAAATAACCCGTGGTCACTGTACAACAACAAATCTCATGTACACTGTACACAAGTCGTCCAACTGTATAACCCACTCATGTGCACTGTACGCCAGTCATCCAACTGTATAACCCACTCATGTGCACTGTACGCCAGTCATCCCGCGTTCACTGTACAGAACCCACTCATGTGCACTGTACGCCAGTCATTCAACTGTATAACCCACTCATGTGCACTGTACGCCAGTCATCCCGCGTTCACTGTACAGAACCCACTCATGTGCACTGTACGCCAGTCATTCAACTGTATAACCCACTCATGTGCACTGTACGCCAGTCATCCCGCGTTCACTGTACAGAACCCACTCATGTGCACTGTACGCCAGTCATCCAACTGTATAACCCACTCATGTGCACTGTACGCCAGTCATCCAACTGTATAACCCACTCATGCGCACTGTACGCCAGTCATCCAACTGTATAACCCACTCATGTGCACTGTACGCCAGTCATCCAACTGTATAACCCACTCATGTGCACTGTACGCCAGTCATCCAACTGTATAACCCACTCATGTGCACTGTACGCCAGTCATCCAACTGTATAACCCACTCATGTGCACTGTACGCAAGTCATCCAACTGTATAACCCACTCATGTGCACTGTACGCCAGTCATCCAACTGTATAACCCACTCATGTGCACTGTACGCCAGTCATCCAACTGTATAACCCACTCATGTGCACTGTACGCCAGTCATCCAACTGTATAACCCACTCATGTGCGCTGTACGCCAGTCATCCAACTGTATAACCCACTCATGTGCACTGTACGCCAGTCATCCAACTGTATAACCCACTCATGTGCACTGTACGCCAGTCATCCAACTGTATAACCCACTCATGTGCACTGTACGCCAGTCATCCAACTGTATAACCCACTCATGTGCACTGTACGCCAGTCATCCAACTGTATAACCCACTCATGTGCACTGTACGCCAGTCATTCAACTGTATAACCCACTCATGTGCACTGTACGCCAGTCATCCAACTGTATAACCCACTCATGTGCACTGTACGCCAGTCATCCAACTGTATAACCCACTCATGTGCACTGTACGCCAGTCATCCAACTGTATAACCCACTCATGTGCACTGTACGCCAGTCGTCCAACTGTATAACCTACTCATGTGCACTGTACGCCAGTCATCCAACTGTATAACCCACTCATGTGCACTGTACGCCAGTCATCCAACTGTATAACCCACTCATGCGCACTGTACGCCAGTCATCCAACTGTATAACCCATTCATGTGCACTGTACGCCAGTCATCCCGCGTTCACTGTACAGAACCCACTCATGTGCACTGTACGCCAGTCATCCCGCGTTCACTGTACAGAACCCACTCATGTGCACTGTACGCCAGTCATCCCGCGTTCACTGTACAGAACCCACTCATGTGCACTGTACGCCAGTCATCCCGCGTTCACTGTACAGAACCCACTCATGTGCACTGTACGCCAGTCATCCCGCGTTCACTGTACAGAACCCACTCATGTGCACTGTACGCCAGTCATCCCGCGTTCACTGTACAGAACCCAC